TTTTTGCCATTGCAGTTTTGCATTCTTCGTTAAACCATTTATTTATTGATCGTTTCCCTTGAAATCCTAGAACTTCCTCTGCTATTTTCTTCACTGACTTCTCTGTTTTTTCCCACATATCATCTATATTGCTCTCCTCTTCTACTGCTCGCAGTGCATCATTTAACCTATTTTTGTATATTTCTGTTGTCTGAGAATTCTTTAGATGTTCAATGTTTAGCTTTTTGACTGGTGATTTTTGTTCTTTCCATTTTATAGATATTCTAAATCTGACTTTTGTTTTCACAATGAAATGGTCTGATATTCCGCTACTACCTCTTATGCTACGTACATCCATTATACATCTTTTAATTCTACCATCTACTGCTACGTGGTCTATCTGGTTTCTTGTTCGTCCATCAGGCGAAACCCACGTTTGCTTATGGATGTTTTTATGAGGGAAGATAGTGCTACTTATTACCATATTTCGTGCCATAGCAAAATTTACCAGTCTTGAACCATTGTCATTTGAGTTTGTATGTAAGCTATTTTTCCCTATTGTCGGACTGAAGAAGGGTTCTTTACCAATCTTAGCATTAAAATCTCCAAGTATTATTTTTACTTTGTTGTTTGGTAGTAGGTCACATATAGTATCCAGTCTTTCATAGAATTCATTCTTAATTTCCTCATTTTTGTCCTCGGTAGGTGCATAACCATTGATTATGACTAGATTGTACCATTTACATTTTAATTCTAGATAGCATATTCTGTCGTTAATTGCTTCAAAGCGTTTTACGTTAGGTAGGAGTTTGTCATTCACGATGAAGCCCACTCCTGCTTGATGCCCCAGTCCACCACTGTAAAAGTAGGTCCAATTATTTGTTTTTAGGTTTCCTTGCCCTGGCCATCTAGTTTCTTGAATCGCAGCTATATTCAGTTGATACCGTTCAAGACTCGATATCACTGTCGTCAAATGTCCGGCCCTATACAGCGATCGTACATTCCATGTTCCTATCGAGAGATCCTTTAGCTCCACATTTTTAATCCTAGGCGATTTTGGTTGAATCGTAACAATGAGTTTTTTACGAGGTAGGGTTGTTAGCCCTACGCTCAACCCCCAACCTGGAGGACCAGACTACCCCAACCAATTAAGGTCAGGGTAGGGCTATTGCGGTGCATTTACTATAATGTACCGGGCGATGGGGACGCTACTTTCCCTACGCCTATGACTTCCGATATCTCGAGTCAAAACTGAGAAAATTTTAATATATTGATTATGAATAACGATGGTATTTTAGGAGTGCTATCGTTTGTTTGTGAATGAATATTATGATTTTTTGGATTTTCTATTTGTGAAGTTGATGCATTTTCGTTGTTGCTGGTGGACATTTCATGTTCGTTAATTTCGGTGTTGTTAGTTAGTATCGCGTAACGATTTGATGTGGGCTTGAGAGTGTTTTTGGCAAGCAGGTTAAATTTTTTTTTTTGTATGTCTTGGTGATCTATCTAATTCATTTTCAGAGTTGGGTGTTGGTGATTCGGTATTATCGGAATATTCGTATTGTATTTTATTTTTCTTAATAGTTATAGGAGGTACTTTACGTTGTGTTTTAGAAAAATAATTATTGGCTGGTTTCATTTTTTTGATGTGTGTGTGTTTGTCAGTGCGTGTTGTAGGCTTATCGCTCGTAGGCGCGTTTGGTTTGCGATGCGGTGGTTATCAAATGGACCTTATTCCTAAGATATTGATATACATAACCCATATGATATAGCGCTGCGTAATTGCTGCTATGATACTGCTATCGGTAGCTATTAAAAATGGTGCGCGGATTACGTGTGGCTTCTACGGTGTCCAGACGCGAACTGTCTTAAAACTTACCTAAATAGGCTTTCTTGATTTACCAAATATAATTGCGAAAACTAAGAAAACGTTCTAACCGAACATGAAGTAATAGTGTAGGATAACTTTAATATTATTTTATTCAATTGAGCACTCAATGACGATAACTTTCGTTGCAACGAGTTGGTATTATAAAAACATCATTTTATCTTAGATAGCAATAATCAGTAGATAAATATGTGAGCTATAAAATTTCAAACTTAGATTCCAGGTAAATACAATTTTTTATTAAAATGTTGTCCAATCTTTTAAATTTATAGACCATTGTGCATCGTAAATATGGATTAAAATATTTTCACAACGCAATTTTGTACCCCTAATCAGGAAATCTTACCTTAATCCTTAATAATATAACATACATTATAGATTTGAGTCTTATATTTTTAGGAATTTTAAACTAAACTCTTCCTACATAGCTTTTTTACTTATGATGCTGATATAATATATATTATGTTGTATATATTAAATATTATGTTTTATAATTATTCAAATTTGAAATGTTTATGCATAGCACCATTCCCGCCTGTTATTACGCTCTCGAGTAATGAAGAAAATAAATGTTCTTTGGAATGTATTAATGGTTTGTAACCTTGTCAAAAATCAATGTTCTTAATTCAAATATCGTATGTACATCACGAATTATAAATGAAATTTGTTTCTTAGGGATTGCCAATAATGGTGTGGATTTTGCCGACAGCATGAAATATGGATATGAATTTAATGCGAAAACTACAATTATACCACCAACTGGTTCTGAAAAAAGTATATCAGAAATATCGATCAAAGGAAAAGCTAATGTTATTGGAACGAAAACATGTGGTGCAGTTTTTTATCTAAAACGTATAGAAATCACTCAAGGATCAAAGGTTGATATTTTTCCTTTTTTGTGGGATCTTTTTTTTTTTTTTTTTTTGAAACAGAACTAATAAATCGTATACCTATCCATTTACTTAGGTTTACAATAATACTGAATTAGAAGGGAAACCAATATTATTCTCTTATAATAATGGAAAAGTCGGTGAAAATATTTGTTCATCGGCAGATGATTCTGATAGTTCATTGAATTTAAAACGAGCCATTGTGTCATCATTTCAAGTGTCATTGGCACAAAACTCCCAAAAAGAATTTGTTGAGGTAATTTTTTTATGAACTTGATATTGTTAGAATGCTTATACTAATTTATAGTATACAACTGTAATATATTTACAACTAGACTGACAACCAAGGAGCTTGTAGCACTATGTATTCTTCGTCTTCGTCAAACTCTCTTCTCACTATTGTAAAAGATAAAGATCTCACAAAATGCGTTGGTTATGACAACAGTAATGTATTCGGATTGTCATCGCCGGAATCAAATATGGTTCGAATATTTTTAATCAACTTAAAATAAAACAATAATGAAGTCCGGATTAAGACCTTTTGGGGCCCAGGGCCAATACACGGTTGTGGACCCATACTAATGAAATCAATTTTTTAAATTTATCAAAATATATAGTTAAACGAATTTAAACAAATTATAAACACCTGGCCATATGCCCCCAATTACTATGCCCATGATGATAAACATGGTAGGCGGGTGACAGACCCCAACGACCGTTAGTTCAAACAAGAAAAATTATAAGAAAAATATTCTCGTAGGTACTATAAAAAGTACAAACCATCACTCAATTTAATTTTAAGCTGAGAAGACTTTTGGTCCATTACATACGTACGTGGGCCCTAGGGAGGTGGCCCATGCCCTCTTAATCCGAGCTTGGTAATAATAAAACGTTCCTATGACACTTTGAACAGGTACATCAAGATTCTCCATTTTCTTCAGCAATCCAGCATACTGAAATTAAAATAATAGATTCCACAATAAAATCAGTTACCAATTTAGAGACTTTTCTTTATCGACCATTTGGTCCAATTGATAGCGTTACTGAGATTATAGTCACTACGAGTTTGAATTTAAAAAAAAAGTCTACTGTTCAAATTCGTAAGAAAACCATTTTTCATGTTTTTTTTAAATTTCCGATGTGTATTATGCACATACACAATATACATCATTTAATATAATATTAACTTCGTATATTTTTACAGCTGACACTAGTTTTTTGAGTAAAAAAAGATCTATCGTTTCTGAAACATCAATACCAACGATTAGATCTGTGGATGTGAATGCGTTAGTAGCAGCTATCAATCTAGCTACAACTAATCTTGAGCCAGTGGTTGGTATAAATGGAGCTGATAGTTTTGCAAATTTAGTAGCATCATTTAAATTAGCAACGAAGGATGATATATTCTCTGCGTTTCAACAAATCAACCATGATAATAAATTTGATGATCCAAAAATAGTCGAGTATGTTGATAAAAATAAAAATGTAAAATATAAAATAAACCATTTAGATAGCATTCATAAGACTTTTTTAGACTTTCCTAGATTCCGTAATACACTTTCTTGGTCAGGAGATCTCTAAGAAATGTATGGATAGTTTTTAATGCGTTTCTTAAAAATATAATTTATTTTTGAGATTTTTCTACTTAGGTTTCTACTTAAAAACATTTTAAGTTACTAATATATGAGCATATTATAATTATTAAATTACCTTGGTTAATGTAAAATAAAGTAGTATTAATACAATGCGTGTAATATATAGGAGGCCTAAAATTAAAAATACAAAAACTACGTATATAAAATTCAAATACCATTCACCGACTGACTGATCGGTTTATGGTCAATATACGATACTGGTTCATTTGACATTTTTAGGAAATGTTTATATTTATATATGCAGGTGCGTTAAGAAAACATTTTTCGAAAATTGCATATTTAAAGGTCAAAAAAGTTTTGAGTTGCTTGTATACATTTTTTCACTTTTTTGTTACTTAGGAAGTATTTTATTTTGTTTAATATGTGGATTTTTAAATTAACAACTGAGATAAATAAGTATATAAAAATTAAGTATAGACATATAGGATAAAAATAAATATCATTAGAATATACGTCGATTATGCGCTTTTTTCAACTTAAATATATATATATATATATATATTTACATCAAGGTTGTAATTGCTCGAATCTAAAATAATAAGATATTTTCCGACTTAAGCCGATTAATTTAGCTAGTACGTTTTATATTTATTAACCTTAAAGTATAATTGTAGTAGTTACTGGGGGAATTAAAATGAAAGATTGATTCTATGTATAAAATATGTTGAATAAGAAAAATAAAATGATTGGGTCTATCGCACAACTGAAAATTAATAGCATTTTAGAGAAATTTATTTTTGAATTATACAGCCAATAGGAAATTAAAAAGAGAATTTAGAATATCTAGGAGTTTACTTATGGCATTTTCTGATCGTGGATAATAAGAATACAGAAGAAATTTAGTTTATTTTGCAGTTCTATAAGAACTTTCTTGAAAATGTATAATACATTTCAGTAATGTTAAGGGCATCTTTATAAAATTTTAATATGAGTACCATTATAAAATATTAATATGTTTACAGAACGATTTTCATAGACGCTTTAATTGCTGCTAACAGTGGCGGATCTATTGAGGCTGTAGCAGAACTCATCCATCATAACAAGTTAAGTGATTCATTAACTATATCGTGGTTTAAAAACTTGGCTAAATCAAAAAACCCCACGAAAGAAGCAGTTTTCATGACATCGGTAAATATTTTGAAACATTTTTTCTATTGTCGATTCAGAATAAAATTAATCCACGAAAAATATATAACTTTATTTAATATTATAGAGTTTACTCAATGACAGAGCTTTTAAAGAAGGCTACATAGGGGTCGGCTCTTTGTTACAAACCTACCTTAAAGACACTCAAGATTATGATAGTGTTGAAGTTAGAAGTATTTTAAACAATTTAGGAGCACCATTACAAAAAGCTTATAGTGATAATTTGTCATCCAACGATGAAAATTTAGTAATAGCAAGTCTAATTGGACTTAGAAATGCACAATACATAAATAATGAACTGGAAGATATGATTATTAAACTTATTATGGATAAAAATATTAAACAAAGAATTAGAGTAGCAGCATTAGTTATGATCAAAATTTATGCTAAAAATCCAAAGGTATAAAAAATACTTATAAGATATACTAATTCATTGAAATTTATTATTCATGTCTTAATAGTTAATATTATAAAAGAAAAATAACAAATATATAAATATTTATACATAATACATAAACTAAATCTTAATTTGAAATTTAGATGGAGAAAGCCTGTGAAATTATTTTCACAGACATACTAGAAGATTCTGAAGTTAGAATTTTAGCTTTTAAAGTATTTGCAATCAACCCATCAAAATATAAAGCTTCCGTTATAAAAAATGTATTAGATGACAAAAAATGTCAATTGCAAAGTATGATCAAAAAAAATATTCTACATTTTTGGTCAGATATTAAAATTATTTTGGATGATTCAATTATAACATCTATATTCTACATAATAAGCAAATTTAAAAGAAAAAATAATACATTTTTTTAAATAAAATTTGATTTTTGTTAATTTTTATAAATATTAGCTTTATATTATTTTAATATCGAAGGTAACGAATTTTAATATTTACCAAAAATATATTTTAGTCAGCAGTAAAATGACTAGTTTTTTCAAACTATTTATTAATAATTTCATAAAATAATTTTTGTTTTAGTTCGAACTTTTTTATTGAGTTACTTGAATAATTTACTAACGACTAATGATGAAGGTAAACTTGATCTAAAGAGTTTTTATGAAGGAATTAAAACTGCATCATCAAAAAAAATGTACAGTGATATTTTACGTTATTCTCAAAGTTCAGAGTATTCCCAAAATCTCCCTTTTATACACAGCAGAGTTTTATTAGATACAGAAGTAATTTATTCACAAAAGTAATTAAAATGTGTAATTCATTGATTGAACATTTTAATGATTGTTTAATTGTTATAGATCATATTTGCCACGATTTATCTCAGCATCACTTAAGGCATTACTATTCGGACGTAACTTTAATATTTTTGACGTAAGTTTTATAATAGTTTTACTTAAAAATGTATATAAACTCATTGTTTATATAAATAATTTAAATAATTCAGTTTCAAATGCGTGTTGAAAATATTGAATATATACTAGAAAAATTGTTTGGACCTAATGGAAATTTCGCCAAAAGTAATAATACCGCTTTCGACGATGTCAAGAACTATATAACTCAGGCTGTAATTTACGCTAAAGAAAGAGGACTTAATAATGTAGATTCCGACTTACCTTCTAAGCAAGTAAGACATTTCTATAAATTATTTATACACAATATAGTACATGAGATTTTCTGTTTGTTTGAGCTATAAGATTTAGTTGATGTATGAAAATTATTATGTCCCATTAAGTTTTATAATTCAGAATTGGAAGTAATATATACCCATTTCACCTAATTTTCTCAAATAAAAATTATATTTTAAATTCTCCCCATAATATTTTGATGAACGCAGGTAATAATTATATATTTGATTTTTTTTAATATTTATTATCAATAATTTGTCTTTAATTTGTAATTATTTTTATTATGTATATGTTTAAGTTAGATGATAGTAGTTAAGTTAATTTATATTTAATAACAAACAATGTAACCAATATTATGTATACATTTTCACACTATATAATAGGACACAGTCCGTATATATTTGTAAATAAATAAATAAATAAGTAATTAAATAAATAAATAAATAAAGAAATAAGTAAATAAATATATAGATATTAATTGTATCTTATTATTATTATTTTTCAGCATTATAGACTATATAGGCCCTTTACAGTTAATACCAAATTTTTCCACTTCTATCAATTATACATATGATTCAAGTCTCCATGCCAATCTGGTCTGAGCTCATGTCTCTTTTTACTACATCTAGTCACCATTGCTTCGGTCTATCACGTGAACTTTTCCTATTCAGTTCATTTACAATTACCGTTTGGACTTATACTGTTGTCAGCTCTCCAGACGCAGACTGCCCAATCCAATCTTGCTTCTTTTACAAATATTATTATATCCCCCCTTTCATATAACTGCTATACCTGTTCGTTTGATCTTCTCTCCCACACTTGGGTATAGGGATATATACAGTACTAAACATTTTATATAAGATCTTTCTTTCAAAGATATAAAGTCTATTTTAATTTCCAACTATTGTGACTATTAAAATATACATAAGACACAGTCGGTCTGAAATACGTGGAATACAATATTTCTTTGATTTTCTTGGATATTCATTTTGATCTGGAAAGATGTGACGATAAAATAACATCCATTTCCAGCTTTTAGATGACATGTAATTTTATTTAGCATACAGTTTTTATTATTTATTTTATTTATTACCTCGGTATATTTGGAGTCATGAATCTGTTGAAAAGACACTCCATTGACTTCCAAATTTAATTCGTCTTCATTACTTCGCACTTTTTAATTCATATACATATATTTAGTTTTCTTCTAATTTATCAACAACCCCACGTGTGTGCCTCATTTTTTTATATTATTTTATTGTATATTATATACATAGTAATGGAATTACCAATTGAAGCTTAAGAGATTTGAGATTTTTTTAACTAAAATGTATGTGTTTAATATATTTGGGAAGTAATTAATAATACGATCATTCTATCTATATATTAATCCTTCTTTTAAATAGTATGTATATTTATATACTATACGAGTATGTATATATAATTATTTAATATTGACTGTATATTATTACTGTGTTTTTAGGGTTATGAAGATATTTCAGAAGAGGATTTGAATAAAACATATATAGATATAGTACTAAATATATTCGAAAATGATATTGGTTGGTTTTCTTTCGAAGGACTTGATACTCATATTACTTATCAAAACACAATTGATTCTATAATTAATAATTTACAAAGTTCATTACCAAATGAGAATAACATTGAAGTAAATAAATACTTTAAATAATTTTTTATCATAAACTCAATTTTTTATTTAACATTAAATAATTAAACCGTATACTGTTAATTATCTTAATTAATAAAATATTTTATAGCTGAATGTAAGTAAACGAATACCAATCATCGATTACGAAAATAAATATGCAACGTGTTCTGGACTTCCAGTTTCATTAAAATTTCAAGCTACAACAGCTCTTAAAGTTAATATAGCTACTAAACTTGATTTGGAGAATTACTTAGCACATCCAGAAAACTCAGATTTTTCACTCAAACTCATTCCTAGGTTGTTTAAAAGTAAAATTTGTACTTATTTAAATTAGGGACATAATTCAATAAACAAAGTATTATTTTTAATTTAATTTTGTCAACAAATAATTAACATATTTCCGACCATTTCTGGGACGTTATTCAAAATTCGTTTTTTAACATGGTCATTAAACTAATAGTTCAACTTTTAATTTTAATTTTCATGTTAATTTGATGTTTAAAAAAATAATTTTTTTTAAATGTATAAATTATGATTAAATTTGCTCACTAAATGACAACACAATATAATTATAAGTAGAGCGCGGATTTGTATGCACTTAAAAGTATCGAAATATGCCATATGATATGCAGTAAAAATCATGAAAATATGCAAAAAATATGCAGTCAAAATCATAAAAATATGTAAAAAATATGCAGTCAAAGTTATGAAAATATGCAAAAAATATGGAAGAATTTTTTATTTATTTAAAATTTATAATTTAACTTATGATAATTAATTACTTAAATACTTAATAAAAAAAAATGTAGGGAATTTTCTGAACTTAATTTATTTTTAAAATTTTATTTATTATTAAATTGAAAAATCATATGCATTTCAAGTTTATCTTCTATGAAGTTGTGTCGTTTATCGGTTAACATATTTTTAAAGACTGAAAACGAACGTTCGATGTCAACCGGAGTTATTGGGGCATATTTGAAGCAAGTGGTATGTCGATAACCGACTGACACAGCAATAGCGTAAGTTTACGTCGTAATCGATTATTTATTTTATAACTAAATATATATATATAAATTATTATTTAGTGACTATAAAATTTAGTTTTAATTTTTCAACTTGACAATATATTATTTTGTACATTTTTTTTTTAAATTTTCACTTCAATATGCAATAAATTTTGAATTTTGCCAAAATATGTAAAAATATGCAATAATCAATATATATGCGGAGATATGCAAAAAAAAATTTCACCATTAGCTTTAAATTGTGATGATTCGTGAGGATAACTGACAAAAATCCAAAAATATTGAAAGGAAAAAAATATGCAATTGCATAGAAATCCGCGCTCTAATTATAAGTAATTATTAATTAAATAAATTAAACAATATTGCAATTAAAACATTTCTTGAGTAGTATATATTATATATAAATTGAAATATATTTATGTGTATGTATATTATATATAAGTATTTGGATTTTATGAATATTTTTAAATAATATAGTTGATAATTAAATAATTATCATGATTAATGAATCAATATAAAAATGTTTTCAGTGGTTCATTAACATTAAATACTCAATTAACAGTAGATGGATATGTTGTTGAAGTTGGACAGAAAATAGCATCCTCATTTCATACATCCTCAGGCTTTAATTTTTCTTTAAATATTGTTGAAGGACGTAGTTTTGAAATGGTTTATGGTCTTCCTTTAAATGAAATGGATTTGATTTCTATAAAATCCGGAACTTATTCAACAGTTCAAGAAAGAGAGAGTTCATTACACGAAGAACCACTTTCAACACCCGGAATGAAAAAGTATTATATTGATGAAAAAATAATAAAAAGTGTATTATAAATAGACGCATTGTTAAATTTTAATTTTTAGACATACATATACTAAAAACTTTGATAAATTGAGTAATGCTACAGGATTATCATTTTTTATGCACTATGATTTCCCTTGGAACGGTCACGTAATGGAATCTTTACTACCATTCGCTGGTACATCGGCAGTTTCTTTTAAAGTTTTAAAAACTGATACAAAACTAACTAAATATGTGATGAGAGGAACTTATGATTTTAAATGTAAGTATATCGTTTTATCAATGATTATTCATATCCAAGTACCTACATTAATAGTGTACTTATGTTTTCAGCACCACTATTAAAATACATCAAGTTCAAGTTCTTTACACCGAAATCAAACATTAAACGTGGTATAGAATTTTTGATAGGTTATAATTCATCTGTTAATAATACATTTGTAGCCGAGTATAGGACTCCGACCTCTAAAGTCGTTCTACAAACCGTATTAATGAATTCAGATACACAGAAAATCATTGAAGTCCAATATTTAAATGGTGCCAAGTACGTTTTTAATCTAGGAGTAAAATGTGAAAAGGTGGACAACGAAATAAATAAATATTTTCCCTTATTTGAAATTGAATACTCAACCGACATTAGTACTAAACCAACCAGATACCCTGGTCTATCGAATTTTGACATCGAAGGGTATGTGCTTGTAAAACGTAATGTGAATCCTAATAGTACATTACCAAGTAAAATCATGTTGCAAGATATGGCTGTTATCACTCCGAACAATAAGCATTCTCTACAGGGGACATGGACATTTGATGATAATAAAGCGACAGGAATGGCTAATTTGACGACATATGGAGTAAAATTTAATATGTATGGACTTATTAGTGGAGAACATTCGGTTTACAAAATGATCGGAATTATAGATGTAATTAAAAATAAACAAAGTCAAGAACGATCACTGTCCAATCATGACAATGAACCAGATTCTAAATTCGTATATTTGCTGAACAAAATTAAACCTGTGAATATACATACGTCCCATGAAATTCATGTTAAAGAACCGTATATTTTCATAAGTAATAACTATGTTATATGGAAAGATGGTCATTTTAAATTGAATGGAGATTTCCTTATTGAAAATAATGACCTCACAATGCATGGAAATATTAGTTTTACAGATCTTTTTGACTCTGTATTGAACGGTAAGACATTTTAATGCATTAATCGTTTTTTCTATAATAATTGTGATTTATTACGTTTAAAGCTAATATGACCATTTTGCCGAGTACTAAGGATAGTGGCATATTAATTAATGGTTTTTCACAACATTCTTTTATTAACGATTCATCATATATTGGATACGGAGATTTTGAATTTATTCAAAATAAGGATAAAAGAGGCAGCCTTTTTAAATTAAATTCAGAACACCTGAAAACACTTGGAGTATTCCATTTCAATACAAATTATCAGGTCAGAGATTAAATTAGGAAATAATAATTTACTATAATCTATATTACTTATAATATTAAAATGTTTATATTTAGATAACCGATGAATCATTCAATTACGATCTCCACTATGATTTTGCCAATGGCACAGTTTTATATGCTTATGTGGATATTATGACAAACGATATTAATTTTGAAGTCACCTTTGATTCACCCAATCCTGGATATAAGTCGTTTATGATTATACATGGTTGGTCAGAAAAATCGAATACTTACAAATTCAACACCAATGTACGTGTTAATTTCTATCATATACCACCAGTGCCGGATCACCCATTAGGCGAAGTAGGCGCCCATTTTAGGGCCTCACTCATTTAAGGGGCCCTGTCAAAAAAGAGAAACTATATTTTTTTTATTAAACAATACAATTATTAAATTTACGAATTTACGGCAAAAAAATTATTGTGAAAAATAATATACCTATATTAAGTTCTATGCAATAATAATAATAAAATTATTTTTAAAAAAATAGAAATATATAATAATATAATTATAATATATAATAATTATATATTATATTTTATATTATATATTATATTATATTATATATATATTTGCAAGAAAAATGCAATAAACATGATTTTATTCATTAATAACTGTTAGTTATTATTAAAGCTGTTTATTTTAATTATTGGATAGTAATGTTAAAGATGTTTGTAAAAAATAATTTTGTAGGGCCCAACATTTTAATTGCCTAGGGGTCCACAAATGTTTAATCCGGCACTGTATACCATAAAATATTTTGTATGTTTTGGAGATCTTGGATAAACAAAATATAGTACAATATATTATAGTTGTAATTATTATACTTTACAGTTATTGTGGCCAGGTCCTAAAAATTTTAATTATCTGAATGCTGATGGAAACTTGTTTTTAAATGGACTTGATAGTCATATAAGCGGAAATGTTGATTGTCCGTCGGCCAATTTAGTAAATGTACACGTATCAATCGATAGCATTCCCAATTCCGAAATTAAAGATAGTGGTGTGGCTACAGTTCGATGTGTTGCAAACGAACAAGTTTTACTATCAGAGAAGTAAGTCTGATTTTTTTAATTTTTACAACTTCCAACAATAATTATTCTCAAGCTAATAATTTTCAAAGGATTAAATATAAATTAACACTAAACAATGGTGAATATCATATATCTGGAGAGAGTGTCTATAAAGATTCACAGAATCTTATGCCCATTAATTTTGTGCTAGAATATAAAGATTATATTGATCAAAAACATAATTCTGGCAAAAAAGTATGTACTATGACTCGAATAATTTTTTATAATTTTAGATAAATATTCAATATTCTAACTCACATACAATATTGTATTGGAACAAAATAACAAGAAACTTGTTTATCAAAGAAATGTAACAGTCACTAACCACGAGTTAGTGTATAGACAATTACATAAAATAAACGACGATGAACAAAAAATTGAAATAGATTTAAACTACAATTTTATAAGTACTTCCTATCTATTTGTTAAATAAATAATATTACATTTATGAATAATAATAAAAAAAATCATAATAATAATTTAATTTTAGGTGTATGGAATTGGTCTTATGGTTTTAAATCTAAAATTATATCTCCAGAAGTTTTCCATTTATTAACGTATGATGATCAAGATTTATTGGAATGTACCTCTTATATTAAATTTGATAATAACTCGTTGAGTCAGAAACATACTCTTCAAATATTTTCATACGGAGATTTAAATGACTCTTATGAATTTAAATTGATTTTGAGTTTAGAAAAATCTGGTTAGTTTTTGTTATCAAGTGTTATATAGAATTAATTTTATATACTCAGTGTCTTACTTCTGAATATATAATTTATAGTCCTTAAGTTATTGTATGGGCAGCGGGAAATAAGAGGTTTATGGCATCACAGTTTAAAACCAATTGAAGGAGGATACATTTTGAAGTATAAAAGTGATGTTTGGTTTGACTATATGATAGATCGAACTAGTGTATCCACTTTATCATTAGATGCAAATTATTCACTTCATGATGGACTAACTACAGGGACCGACCTACGAATATACGTGCCTTACTTTGATAAAAAGGTAAATATTTTTTTTTTCTAAAAATAAATAAAACATTTGAACTAAAGCGTTAAAGGTTTAGAACTTGAGTGTAACGTCAGATATACAAGTTTTAAAAAGCTGGGAAAATCCATTAAGTGTTAAATTGGATTTAGATATTTTCGTTAAAAAAGAGCAAGCGTTGCAACTGCATACCAATTTCACGAGAAATGTCGAAAACGACGGAGTTTTGTATTCTGTTAATTTATTAGCTAAAAGTGATGTATGCATATCATATTCTTATGTTTGAATCAATAATTATTTAAACACTATTTACTGTTATTATGTATAATTAGGGAATGAAACTGGATTATTTGGTAAGAGATTCTATATTTATTTCAAGTAATCGATGGGGAACATATTTAAATGTGTACTTTGTTGATTCTGATTATATTATGAGACCTATACAATTACATTTTGAACTAGTGCCTAAAGGATTAAACAATAAAGTTTGTACTTCAGTTATACTTATAATTCATATGTGTATATATATATTATAATATTAATTATATAAAAACTGATTGAATTTTAATGTAGATAAACATTTTTAATTTTACTGTAATCGATGTAAATTTGTCAATTAATATTGAAGATGGTTCTTTAAATACACGTACATTAGTGAATTATAATGATCATCCTTATTCGTTAAAAATGTCATTGAAACCAAACCCAAGCTTTAATTGCATAATGGGTTGGACAGGTTGTAAAAATTTAAATAAATTGTTATTTTATTTTATTTTTCGATTTATTAAATAATATTAATTATTTCATTAGATAAAAAGGGAATACCAAAGGAATTAATGATCGAGGGTTTTATGACTATAGACCAATCGGCTGTCATTAGCGTTACTCGCACTATACATGATAGCACTGAAGCCATACACGTAGGAAGTGTCGAAAAATCTTTAGGAAAAGAAAATTGGTGGAAAACAAACTATCAACTAGATTCAAATAACTGCAATTTAATTTGGGTAGGAATTCGAAATATAATATCGGAAATGTAAAATGTAAAATGTATAATATTATTATTATATTCTAGCAAGAACTGAAAGAAGAATTTATTAGTAGATTTATTGAAGTGCATAGAAATTATGTGAATATTACTTCAATGGTAACAAGTCAGCGTAAGCTTCGCAAGAAGGAAGCAAAAAATGTATATGCTCAGTTTCCAATACTCGTGGAATATCTATTTGATGAGGGGATAGTAATATTTTATGAATTTGTGGAAAATCAAAATTTAATGGACCTACCGCTAATTGCGTAAGTTAAAAACATTCATGTACTTGCATGTATAATTTATATAAATATATATTTTATATATTTATAGAATAAAAAGTACAGAAGCTTTACTTGTTGATGCAATTGATTTTCTTCAATATATTGATATAGTAAAATCGATTGAAAACATAAATAAACATATCAATATTTATATAAAGAACATGTATGATAAATATTCAAAGCAAATTAATCTAATTATGAATAAAATGGCAAGTGATTATCATAAATTACTTTATCAAGTGAGGCAAACCTTATTGGACTTATTGCAATTGTTACAATTTTACTCTAATAAAGCTGTAACAGATATATCATCAGAACCCCATTCTTTCAATGAATATTATAGTGGTAAGATATTTTAAGCTATTATTAAGTTTGTAAGTATTTACGTATTGAAATCTTACTAATTTATTATAATGACAAAAAAAACTATTGATTTTTTTTTAATACTGATCGTATTATAATGATTATTTCAACGAATATAGATGAAACACACAGTTGAAAATTTAAGTATAAACTTAATCAACGCAATTGCCCTATAATGATCGAGTTACATAACCAGTGTAAAGTATCTTTTTACTATTTCGTTTTCTTCCTTTTAAAATAATCTAACACGGACGGGTTATATCACTCACCAAGAGAGGGACTAATGAAGGTTTAAGAATTTAGTTGGTTATCATATTTATTTTTAATTGTTTTTTAAATCTATATAAAATTTTAAATTACAGAATATATTTTTGAGTTCCTCATAAGTCAATTTTTTTCACAATAGTGACAAATTTTAAATAGTTACATTATTCGTATAAATTTTAATCTGAAACCATTTTAAAAATATAGGTCTACACATATAATTAACAACAAAAATGAGTTATTTATTTATAAAAAAATATATAAAATAGGAACTATATTCATCAATGATGATTGACAATATTTTATAATAATTATTAATATATCAATATATCATAATACTTAACTTTTTAAAATAGTTAACTTAGTCCCTGGGGGGTTTATATCTTCTTAGCCACCCCTTAAACCCGCCTCTGTAATCTAATTATAGTAATTATAAAATATTTGATAATTGTCATCATAGGCGGTTTTACATTTTTCAGTTGGTAGTTTAATCATAGTTAATACCACCTACCCATTTACCAAAAAGTCATATTCGGTAAAAAAACTTACCTAATTTCTATTAAATTACCTATTTTATATTACCTACCGCTGTCAGTTGCAAAGACCAAGTACCCAACTATTAAAATGACACCTACCTCAATCTTTTGGTAGTTCAGTGAACCACAAAATGCATGATCAAGCGTCTCTGACAATTTGTCGTAATACAATTTACTTTTAAAACAGCATTTTTTGACATATTAATAATTATTGAAAAAGGATGAATATGTTGCTTGTGTTATGAAATCATATACGTCATATAAAAACCTGACCACAGCATTTTTAATGTTAAGCACTCAAAATAATATACATTATACAACTTAATAAAACAATGTAACAAAAAATATGTACTCATATTAAAAAATTATTTTTTTTCTCATAAGTGCTCCATTGCTGCTGTTTTTTTTTTTTTTTTGAATCGAATTTCTTCATTGTAACAATTAACGTTTTCCTATTGGTTTTGATGTTTTTATCTTATTTTTATTTTATTTTTTTATATTTTAAACTTTCTCAATACTATAATTTAAATTAAAAATGTAATTAAAACGAAATTAATAACTAAGATATATTTTAATAATAACGGATGCGCTATAATTTTCAGTTAATCATTTTAATATTTTTTTAGTATCAAACAAAGTAATTTAGTAATCTATGCCTTTAAGCTTAATTTACCATGTATAAAAAATATCTTAGAAATTATTAGAAAACTATCAAATAAACTCTTAAAGCTTTAACCACTCAGTTTACCGGATTAAGTTGTTGAATGACTACACTTAAATTCACTTTACATGGCTTTAAATATTTTCATTAGGTGTCATCAGCTCACTTATCGATATTATCAAGGAACTCAAAGTTGTGGCTGACAAAATTAAAAAAAATTTAGAGGATAAAATAATGGAATTACCAATATATGATATCTTCTATAAAGAAATCGAGAAGGTAAATTTCATTGTTTGAATTCTATGTTTTATACTTATATTTAATAATTGCATTTGTAGCTAAAACATTATCCTTACAAAGATAAATTATGGGAAATAATACATGACCAACTGAAGGAAATGGAAATATCAGCTCCTACTACAGACTTGTCTGATTTTATCAAGGCGTTAGATAAATTTATAAATAATGTTAGTATTTTGTATAATGTACATCGATGTAATACATGGAATAAATGTTTAAGTGAATTGTGTTCATATAGATTATTTATGATCGACAAGACGATGACCAGAAAGATCTGACAAATCTAAAAATCAAAGGGCTTTTCCTAGCAAAATCAATAATATTTAATTTCTCCGATTACGTAAGCTACCAAAAAACAATGGCTATTTATAACACATTACGTAAACTCACAGACATAAGCAAGTCTATTCTTTATTTAATCTCGCCAAAGTCTGTCCAACTGTCACATGATAGCCAAATCATGTGGTTTGGTCTCAGTGGATATATTCAGTTCTATCAGCAATTTATTAATCCATCATATTCATTACCACCATTCAAAGGTAGGTTATACATATTTTTGTGCATTTCTTATAACCTATTGAGAAGTATAAGTTCCTATTTCATACAACTTTTTATATACATTATGTAGTACAAGGAGTTGTTATTGGTTACACCAACATAATCACATACAATGATCAACCGTATAGTTTCAAACCGAACACCGGTTCTTATATATTGGCAAAAGATTACATAAACAACAAATTTTCAATACTTGCCAATTACAGAGACAACGCTTTAATATCGTTAACAGTGTTGAATGATAACGGTGAAACGTATGTACTACTAACTGGAGGATATGTAAGTAAATAAATTATTTTTAATTAATATTTAGAAACAAAAATATTTTTGTAATCGCTAAGAGTAAAAGAGTAAAAGTATACATACATACATACACATATATTTATATATATTTAATATATGGAGTTTATGAAAATTATACGTTTTAAGAAAATTAAATTTTCATTTTCATTAAAATAATGAAAAAAAAGTTATAAGTGTGATATTTCTATAATATTTATGATTTATATTAACTTAAGTTTCTTGTTTCGTCCAAAATTTCTTAACTTCATAACTATTACTTAATTGTTAAATCAAGTACTTCTATAGCATTAAGTGTTTTAAATTCCTACACTATAGATAGGTTGATCATTTTTAATTGAGGGATGATGTGATTGCGATGGTATGCGGAAAAGAAAATACCAAAAAAAAAAGTACTCGAAAAAAAGTATCTGATTACGTATATATTACGTCAAAAAAAAAAATCAAAACAATAATTAGTAATAGTATTACAAATTAAAATTTATTTAAATTAATATTTATATATAAATTAATTTATTTTATATTAATATTTTTTATTATTAATATACATGAAAATAAATCAAAACTCTTTATGGTAATATACGGTATTGTATTAGAACACTTAATGTTCTTTCATATGTTTTGATCAGTAGCGTATACATAACTTTTGTATGGGGGGGGGGGATCAGTTGCAAATCATTATGGAAGGAAAATTCTTAAACCTCAGTACCTGCACATTTAAATAATAAATAATAATAATAATATATTTATTATATATATATTGAATATGTTAAAATAATAATTTACAATCAGTTCCGGGGGGGGGGGGGGGGGGGGGGGGGGGGGAGGGCGGCGGGCCGTCGTGGTGGGGCGGGGGGGGGGGGGGGGGGGGGGAAAGGGGGCAGCTCTTCGGACGTCAACATTTTAGAAGCGGCAATTTTTTGACGGCGTTAATAAAAATTTTGAAATTTCCTAATGTATATTATATAATACTAGTTTTTAGGAAAAATTATTAATTTATTATTGAAAAATATTGATAATAATTACATAATATTATAATATTATAATATAATTTATATACATTATAATTATAATTATTTTGTCTGTGGGCGTTTAGCATATTAAAGGTAAAACCATATTATTATTTAGCGCTCGGACCTATGCATTTTTATTTTCGTTGCACTGACATAAAATTGTGTATATTGTATTTCTTATATATCTCTATGTGTGTATTATAATTAATAACCATCAGATTATTAAATTTGATATTAAAAGTGTCAAATAATTTATTTACACACTATCAAGTAATTTTTTGCTATATATCTATCTCTCTCTCTCTCTCTCGTATCGTGGTCATAGTTTTCGTCATTGTCGAGTTCGATTCACGATTGACTGGAAAAAAAACGTGTCTAATATTTTATTTTCAATCAATATGAGTGGAAAGTGCATACAAATGCATATATTGAAATAAATGTGTTGTTTGGATTTTTTTTAAATGTGGAAGGAATTGACGATGATATTTTTATGAGAAAAATTAAGTAATTAATAAATAGTTATAGTGTTTATAACCGGAACTTGAGAATGAGATTATACAATTTAAAACAATAATGAAGTATTTTTTCAGAAGATGAAAAATTATCTATACACAGTTTTCTTGAAGTATTAACAGTATCAAAATTAAACGATTCATTTCCTATTGTGGAAATAGCTTTAAAACTTTTTGTATTTATACCATGTTCAAATGCTAGCGAAGAAAGATCCTTCTCAGTTTTAAAAAGAGTTAAAAACTACCAGAAAACATAATTATCTAATGAAAACATGTCATAGTTGTCTCTAATATTTACTATAAATATTTTCCTAAAAAGTATAGGTTGGAATGATATTATTAAAGAATTTGTTGTACAGAAAGCTAAAAAATAGTTGTAAATGTTTTTATATTTATGTTTTATATTAAATAAATTTGTATTAAAATGTTTATATTTAGTACCTACTAAGGTCTATAAATTTAAAAACTACTGGTGTTGCAATATGTTTATAAATATAAATTAACAAAACAGTCTTAACTAGGTTGTTACTTGTTGTATACATATAAATGTATACATGTACTATACATATATATATATATATATATATATGAACAAATGCAATCAGAGGCGTATTTAAACTTACTTCTAGGGGGAGAAACTCAAATCTTTTCTTTAATTCAAGCTCAAAATGTACAAGTCAAATTTTTGGTAATATTTAAATAAGATGAATCCTTAATATTTGTGATTTTTTTTTTTAATGCCGGATCCACTTAAAATCGATTTTGTGTGATTCTTTTTTAACACCTGTCTGTATTTTGAATGTTACGCTTGTATTTTATTTGATTCACTAAATATGGAACCGAGAAAAAACCCAATTCAGTATTCATAGCCACGCGTAATTTTATTTCGTTATAAAATGATCCGCATCAAAAAAATTTGAAATGTGTATTTCACATAAAATTAATTCCTGAAATACGGATTCAAGGGTGGGGGGTGATCGCCCATTCGTCATCCCTAAAATATGCCCACGAATGCAATTTCGTTTAAAAGCAGTGTGTATTCGTTTAAATAAAAATGAAATTACTTTGCGAGAGTTTTTATTAAATATAGATAATAATATAAGAAAACGAACTTTTGATTAATTTTTTATATTTATATATAATATATATATGTATATTATATATATATATATCATTTTAATATTTACATTAATAGTATAATACTTTTTTTCAAGTACTTTTTTTCGGTTCTTTATTCCAGGTACTTTTTTTTTTTGAATTTCGACTGCAATCGTCTCTAGTTCATGGATGCATGACCGATGATCATCCAGGGTTTTTGGCGACAATTTAATTCCCCCATAAACAAACCACATTAGCCAATATGTTAAAAACATAAACTTATCTAATAAACCTACTAAAATCGACCTAAAATACCACTAGTTGCCTAAAAATCAAGGTTTTGCACCCAAATAATTTTTTCGGGTTTCGGGTGTTGAATATATTCGGGTGTTCTCACACCGCAATACAACATTTAAACAAACGTTTGAGTGATAATAACCGTTATTATTCAGGTTAATATTGGTTAATACGGGTATTAAGTATTCAAGGCAAAATCTTATTTTTCATTGATGGAGGGTGGGGGACTAAGCCACCCTCTACTAATGAAATATTTATATTTTTTGTTACCTGCCTAATAAAATATCAAATTCTTATACAACTGTGCAACAGTTTTTTAGACCAAACTATCATTATGTTAATTTCAAGCAATGATGTAACTACGATTTATTTTCGGGGAAGAGGGGGTTATTTTACATGTGTATGAAGCTTATAAATTATAATATCTATTAAAATTAATAATACTAACACTATGTCCTACTCCTAGTTAGTGCGGGCATATCGCATATGACAAAAAACAAACTATTTTGTATTCTGCGTTTGTGTTTGTGGCAAAGGCGGAAATCGGGGAGAGGGGCTTGAGGGGACTAAGTCCCCCAAAAATATAGAGAACAGGTCTTAGCTCCCCTAGCCCTAACAATTGTTAAGTGACTAAAAATCCAATAATTAATATAATTGTAAAATGCATTTTTAATAAATGAATTAAAAAAAAATGTTCTATGATAAAAATTAAATCAAATTCGTAAGATTTTACAAATTTCTTGTCATGACTTGAAACGACCGCAATTGATGTAATATTAATAATATGTAATGATACCCAGTGCTCGAATTGAGGGGTAACGGAGTACCCCAACTAATTTTCAGAAATTTTAGCGTCCCCCTACTATTATTACGCTATAACCATAACGCTCAGCCAGTTTTGGGGACATTCTTTTTTTAAAAAGTAAATAAAGTCCCCTTCTTTAATTTTGCCAAGTCGAGCACTGATAATACCCGTATACGTTGTTTAATTTAATTAATTAATAATTTCTGTTTAGAATACCTACTCCAAAAATGTTTAAAATAAGGCACCAATTGTTTTTTTGTTTAAATTGTTGATTAAAAATGTCAAACTGTCAAACTTCGTAAATTGCCTTGTTGAAATAAATAATTGCACACAGTGGTATCTATAGGTGTAATGAGCAAATAATGCTCAGTCCCCCCACAAATTTCACCAAATTTCCGCTTATGGTTTGTGGTGCGTGCATATACTAAAAACTCACTAGCTAGGCATAGCATAATACAAAAATAATAATAATTTATACTTATGAATATTACGATGAAATTATTACACCAACAAAAATTGACAATTCACGCCATAGACATGTGTACTACACGCCATACACTGAACAAATACGAATAACGCGAACAATAATTATGTTTCAGACTTACAGTATTGCAATAAATAACGACTCGGTGATTCGTAAAAGACCTATTACCTATTAAATAATAATAATACGACGTATCCGTTTGGGATAGTTAGATATAGATTAATTTACAATTTTGTATATTATTTGTGAAATTATTCCTGTGAATAATAATTTTACAATTAAACAACTAATGACAGAATTGAAATAACCACAAAAAATACATACAAAGTGATATATGTCACATAAAGATTGTAAAATAAAAAATTATTCGGGTTTCGGGTTAAAACCAATATTTTATTCGGGTTTCGGTTAGTTCGGGTGTTTAAAAAAAAAAAAAATCATTCGGGTTCTATGGATTTTGGGTGTTTGATTTTTTAAGGGTTTTTAGGGATGTTACGGGTTCAGGTTAATTCGGGTGCAAAGCCCTGCTAAAAATAACTAATGACTTTTTCAATTAAATTTAATAAATAATGTATTACTGATTCAAATGAAAATAATAATTTGCCTCTTATAAGAAAATTTCTCTATGTTCAATAATTATCTATAAAATCAGGCATTTCCTCCAATATTTAGTATAATACATTTACTAGCAGTATATTATTATAATAGTACGATCTAATTTATATTTTTATTTTCATATAATATTCATAGATTACATTAAACGATACAGATATTGATTTTCCACTGATAAGTAATAATACCAAAACTTGGAAGGATGTTTATTCCTTTGGTATTGAGATTGCTGTTGGTGTTCGTATCAAATGTACTCTGGAATTAGAAATTATTGAATTATCCATAAATGGATTCTTTTTTGGTCGGGTATACGGTTTGCTAGGCTCTATGAACCAAGAACCTACATTTGATTTCAAACAGCCCGACGGAAAAGTAAAATTAAATTAAAATTATTAATACCTGAATTCATACTGTCAATATAAGCGTAATTAAATTAAATTTTTTCCTTAGTTATCCAATAATATAGCATCGTTTTTGCTGACGTACAGACAAAAAGGAGACTCAACGCCAACTGTTGTGGATTTATTGGAAACCGACCAAGCACCATGCACAAGTTTTTTTTCTGAAGTATCTAATTTGAGGTATTTTATACACCCGCGATTCATAGTTCATTAATTTTAAAAAAAATATAATAATAATAATAAAAACATTTAGATTTGATTTTTTGCTTCAGAGATGCTTTCTCAACTGTACCACCAACTGCGTATAAAGTGATTTGTAATCACATGGTTTCTTTGGCTAAATCTCAACAAGATGTTTTAAATAAGGCCTGTTTAGTCAGTAGAGCCTACGTGAGCATGGCCCAAAATAACCTAGTTACCAGTTGTAGTATCCCAGATGCGTGTGGTAAGTATTTCCACCAACCATATAATACATTTCTTATCATAATCCGTGACTATTACCTATTGCATTTTATTCATTATCTATTAAGAGGAATTTTATAATAATAATAATTTTACTTTTGGAGTATAGATATTGACAATAAACATTATATTTTAGATTCTGAGTGAATCGAAGGATCTTAAACAATGATGGTTTTTTATTTTATGTTTTTTCATTTTTTTTTTTCTCTCTCTGTAAACACTTTTTTGAACATAATAAGTTAACTCAAAAGTTAACTCTAGTAACTTTTTAGATTTGGCATGTGGTGGTAATTTAAGAAGATAATTATTCCAAAATCTCAATAGTTTTTCTAGGCATAAGAAAAAGCGCCGAAAAACCAAGTAAAAACGATAAAAATGCGCTGTAAACGAGAATTTCACTTTTCGGATTTTAGTTATTTAGTTATAACCAGGGCTCATAACTTCTAGCATTTGCATATTCTTTTTGAGAGGTCCTAGAAGTACCTATGTGAGCTATAAATTTGTTTTAGATAACCAAGAAGCTACATACGAAATTTTATGTTACATATTTCGGAGTTAAGTGCTATTTTGCTTTTTTTTTGCTTATTTTTGGATTTTTGCATGATTTTTATCATTGATTTTTTTAAATTTTTTTTAGTAGCCTAAAATATTTTTCATTAAAAATAACAAGTAATTATAGTCATATTAATTGTTTATATTAGTAATTAATTCGTGTTAATTAATTTTTCTTCTTATATAACTTATATAATAATATCAGAAGAAATTATATATACCTATACGAGTTTAGGTGACGCGCGACGTAGCGAGAGTGTACGCCCGAAACTTCCTAATCCCATCGATAAGGAAACCATTATAATTGTATTTAGTTTATTAGATTATTTACAAATTATTTTTCATTAACATTTTGCAGTCGTTTCCAATTGTTCGTACTGTATGCATGCTAGTTCGTTTTGTGAATTCAGTATCTAATTTTTTTTTTTTTTTTTTAATAATAGAAGCTAAAATAATAAAATAATATAATAAATAATAATAATAAAATAATAATTTTTGTATACAAACGTTTTTTTTGTATATTTTAGTATTCTTAGTGCATATTTAAACGCTTATATAAATACTTAATTTAGAGCATATTTAAGCACTTATAACAACCTTTTTTAGAGCTATAAGTTATGCCTTGGTTATAACTTCAAAAGTAATGTGATTAGAACCCTGAAACTTTTGCCATATATCAAAGAATTTTTTTTTCAAATATGAAAAAATGTTCAAAAAAAGTAAAGATACTTTTAGTTTAAATATAAAACTTTTAAAATACCTCATTTTTGAAAGTTCTTATGGAATATAATTTTTATTTTGTGATCTTAAGACTTGAAAATTGAATATCACTTAACTCATATATTTTTATAATCAACATTTCATCTATATTTATCACCTAAAATTGTGAACACAGATTTTGAAAAAGTAATTTTAAATTCTGTGCTTGCGATTTGGTTACGAATAGAAATAATTGTGAGCCATTTTCATTAACGTATGCTTGGTATCGTCAAATTCAAGAGCTTTAATTATAGACCAAATATCAAAATAAATTATCTAAAATAGGCATTCGATATATACTTAATAAATACAATGAGATGGTGTAATAATTAATATTTGCTATATATTTGTCAAAAATATATAACATACAAAATTAGTTACTTATATTGATACTTTTGTTCAGTTTAATACTTAGCGTTCTACAAAAACAAAATTTTGAAAGTAGAGTCAATTATTCCAAAGTGAATGATTTAACAATTATAAGCGGTTGGAGGGTATCAAATGTAATGCTGTATTTTGTATTGTTTGCCGTATGTTTGGTACTAGAAATTTTGAAGAATTATGGATAAAAACTGGATGTAACGATTGGCAGAAAGTAGTGAAGTGATATAGAAATTTAATTGGCGGAAACGGGTATCAGTTAAAATATAGTTTGGTGGAAACGGGTACCGGTTAAAATATAATTTTGTGAAAACGTGTACACCCATCCAATCTGAGGAACTAAGCGACGAATAATGAACTTCTACCACTATATCTTATAGACTTTTTTTTCTCGTGTTTTGTATAATTTTTTAATTTAATATTAAAAAAATATTTTCCATCCCACACTGTGAATTAAGGATGAGCAAAATTTTTTGAACATTGATAAATCGATTTTTATATTATCGATATGTTCGATGTATCGGTGAAAAACCATCGATATTCAAGAACATCGAAAAAAATGTTTTCCCTCTAAAGCTGCCATCTGTGACACACCTTATTATCTGTATAGTGTACTATTTTCCTGATTAAATAATAAATTCAAAAGTTAAAATACTATTGTTTAACTTATATTTTTTCAATACATATTAAATACTTATTATCAGGGCTCGTAAGTTCATATATTAGCATGTTTTCTTTCCTACATCGGAAAATATGCTAATTGAGATAAAAATCCGTTTCATAATAATGGTAATAAAAATCTGAAATTTACGGAGCATTTTTTTGCATGTTTTATGTGTATTGGCATATTTGGCATATAGTTGTTTTTTTTGAGTTATTAGCGCATATTATTTTATGTAAATTCAACAAAATCGTTTTTCGTGTGAGTCAAAAAAAAAAAAAAAATTAGATCAGTAAATGTGTGAATTCATTCTTATTTACTTTTTCGAATTTGTTTATAAAATCTTAGTATTTTATCAATATTTTTTTTTTTATATGACATTAAGTTTTATAAGTTAAAAGCAATACTATAGAAAAAATTTTATTATGCACCACTACCACTCTCCTTTTATTGACGTGTCCATTGCAATCTATTTTCGTTGCAACGTGTGTTCATTAATTATAATTTTAATAAAATGTAGCCGAAGAATAAATATAATTTTTAAGAATATGAATGGATAATTCTTATTACTTAAAAAAATGCTTATGCATTTTTTTCGTACATAGTTAACAATTTTTAATGCATATTTAATCAAATATTAGTGTATTATTGCATGCTTATTTATGCGTTTTTTAATGCATGAACTTACAAATCCTGATTATAATTGTTTAGTGTATACTTTATTACGACTGTTGTATACTGCAAACTAAAATAATATAAACAAAAAAATAATTCAAAAATTTCAAAAATAAACATCGACTTTTAATTGATTATTCGAAAACAAATCATTGATATCAAAACATCGATATATCGACTAAAACATCGAAGTTTTTTTCCCATCCCTACTGTGAATCTGCATTCTATGCATTCTCTACAACAACATTTAATTGGAGATTGAATGTCTAAATAATGTCAACAATTAAAACGAAAACTTTTCGTGTAACTTTTATTAAAAGCATTTTTAATAGTAAAATATTTAAAATTATAACTATGAAATTATTAAATTACAATTTATTTGAAATTTTGATAATAGCTGATATAATTAATTTAAGTGTAAAATATAACAAACATATTTATTTTTATTTAATAGTTTCTACTACAGTGGGTAGACAAATCATTAATGCAAAGTCATCAGTCCAAATATCGGATCAAAACAATGTAGCTGATATAATGATTTTGTTTGAAGAAACTGCAGAAATCAAACATCTTATGGATTTACTCAACTCTTTAATAAAAAATATTGCTAAATATTTCAATCATAAACAAATAAGGTAAATATTTTGTTATAGAAATAATTTTTTAACATAAAACAGAATAACATTTTGATATCATTAATAACTATAAATTTTAATTCAATTATATCAAATTGGTTTCGCGTTAACTTGATATCAAGCTTATTTAACTGCATTTTACGAGCAATCAGTCTTTTAGATGAATAATATAAAGTTAAGGGGCGTCTGAGAGGAATTAAATTATTATAGCATAATATATTTATTTATTACCTATTTATTATATATTTGGGTTATATTGTAATAATAGTAATTATGATGCATTGATAATATTCGTCATAATTAAAATTAAATCTATTGATTATGGTAGTTAGTACTTGATAACTACTACTGTCTAGTGGTTACGTGCTGAACTGCACTTAAGGGGTGTCTACAATGCTTTTGGGCCCTATATTTTCAAAACTTGTAGGTATGTATATTTAATAAATTATAATATGTAAATAATTAAATAAACATCACTTTTATTATTTATTTAATATTATGGTATATTAGTCCCAATGTTCAAACGAGCTATTATATTTGTATCTGGCCACGACAACCGGTTCCCTCTGATGACGTGCCGGATAGGGGAATTTTTCTCAAACTTTCTGTCAGCGCATTTTATTGCGCTGGAATTATTTTCCGTGGCGGCATTTGCAACCAATCAAGCTGGTTGTGCGGATCGACTGTACCGACCTTTATTTTGTGCGTGTTTGTTTCTTCCTGTTGAAGATTATCACTGCGTAACCGTGCAAACACCGTACCGTCTCCCACGTTCTCGTCACGAGTGTTCGGTTGGGCCGTGCCGTCGGCCGTGGTCCATCATTTCGTGCGGGTGGCTTGTACTCCCCACGTCCGCCATTTAGGGTCATTGATAATGTCACCGTCGTCCAGTAAGCGGATCCGGATTTTTCGTCATCAGCCGGTCTTGGTGGCTGTCGCACGTGCTTTATGCACGGTCGCGTGGGTTCGAGGTATTCACACTCGCAACTGGTGACGCGTAGCGTGATCTGAATTATTTTATTGTTCATAATTTATTATTATAATTATTATAATTTTTTGTTAAGATCATTCTTATTATTATTAATTCATATTTTCATATTCGTACTTTAACTCGGGAATCCGTCAATTGTATATTATTATCATCATTATTATTATAAGTTATTTATTTTAATATAAGTTAAAGATACGATTATTTATGGTAGAGATGTAATGTATATTCGATGCTACAATACCTTATTTGTTTTATCCGTTTTTCTATGACAAGCTTTTTGTACTATTTATTATTATTAAATAATTCATATCTACACAACTAAAGATAATGTATGTCAATGATTAATTGACCTAAATACGAAAATAGTTTTTATCTTGCAGGTAATTGTTCGTAGTTAGCTTTATTTTACTCGTTGTAGACATATATTTTAATATACAATCATATGTACCGTACCGGGACCTAACGTTTTGCTTGTTGTAAGCAGTATCTCGTTTTAAGCGATGCTCGCTTTAGTGATTTATAGTTTATACTGTATTAATAATAATTTAATTATGGTATTCGAATATTTTGTACAATTTTTATTTTTGTATTTTAATTGCCATGTCAAAAAGTAAATATCGCTGGCTTCGAATCCACTTATCGCAGGCCTTTATGCACCATAAGCCATATAATATTATTATTAAACGTTTTGTATTGCGCGAAAACTAAACGAATAATTTTCATTTCGTATTGTATTGTAGCATCGAATGGTCGAATATTCGAATAATTCCCATCACTGATTTATGGTATATACTAAATCTGAGGTTACCTCTATCCCTCACTCCCTTATTATTTGACTGACGCTATAGTCGGATTTATATCGAGTGTGGTGAAGCCGTCGAATTACTTCTGGCCGACCATTGAGGTTTCGCGTACACCCAGTGAATATGTATTCCTTGAATTTCGTATATTTTTCTCAGGTAACTTCAATTATTTATGATTTGAACTTTTGTAGCCAATTGTAGCTGTTATATAATCATAATAAGTTTTTACACGAACATTTACAAAATTTAGAAAATTTAGTTTTATTTTTTCTATTACGAAACATCATATATTTTTTACCAATTATTTTAGAATAAATTACATTTAATTTGAGTAACATAATTTAAAATATAGGCCCCTTACTCTTAAACTTAAATTATAAGTAGGCCTCATTTATATTTTGGGGGTTACCCGTGCGCACCCTCTCCCCCATGTGCACGCTTATGCTATTACCTATACAGTACCTACAAAACCATAATTTGTAATCATAAATAATCATTAATCATTTGACGAAAAGAAAATATTCTACCTTCGATAATATTTATATATTATTGTATACAATTTGATAGATATCATCTTAGATATTTCAGTATAAAAAGAAAATCAATAGATACCCATCAAAAATTAAACACCTATTTTTTCTTAATATCATACATTTTTATGACGTCTCCTAAATTCATAATAGGCACTTTGTGCGTTTTAAGGTACTTCTTCCTTTTGTCCCCTTCCTCTTGAGACGGCTATCAGGATTATTAAAATTTTTTGCTTCTTAATGAAAAATATTAAGTAAATTTAAATACAATTATTTGATTTAATTAAATTGTTCATAAAGATAATTATTAAAATACAACACAAATAAATAAATAAGTTAATTTTATAAATTTAAAAATGTTTATAGTTTTAATTTGTAATCAATAATTTTTGCAGGGATATCAATTTTATTGTTATTGGGTACTCTGGAAACCCTTCAGATTCCGAAGTGCATATCTATACTGCTAATAAAGACAATAATTATTCAAGATTATTGAGTAACATAGCTGAATTTTCAGAATCTCAGACCACTGTTGATGGTATTTCATCTCAATTAATTCAATCGTACAAAAAAGTTATGGGTGAGATTTACCTTATAAACTAATTGATAATTAGATTTTAATTAAAAAAAACTGTAGGTTTTAGATTGAAATATGATTAGCAAAATTTGGTTTTTATAAGGTTCATAACAATTAAAGATAGTAGGTGGATACCTATTTAAGTATTAAGGTACCTACTTAATTATTAACTATCTAATTAAGATATTTAAGATGTATAAGATAATATTACTTTGGTATTTATCCTTAATTATCTCAGACAGTTTATGAATCATTTATTTTTAACACAAAATCTGTGTTATGAAATTATATTTTTCATTATTTATTATAATATAAGACAACATAATATATCAAATCCATATTTAATTAATTGTTTGCTATCATTAACATTTTAGGCATATTATATAAAAAGTAAAGTAGGTAATAAGACTTTTTTAACAAAAAAAAACTTTTCTACTTTAATAATTTAAACATTTAAGCTACCTATAAACTGTATTTTACAGAAACTATTATATTTAAGAGTATGAAACAAAAAATATTCTTCCTTTTAAATTTTCTTAAATAGTAATACATATTTATTATTATAATTAAACATGTAAGACATACTATAATAATTGTGTACAAAAATGTAGTGTATTGGAGATGTCAAGCGGTTTGTAAATAATTTTTTTTAAAAATACTTAATTTAAGATAAACAAGGACTTAGATGAGAAAAAATTACTTATTTTACATATTTGATCAAACTTATATATCATACAAAGTGCTAGTATAATTTTATCAATAACCAAAGCTTTTAAATACCATATTAATTTTTATTGGTACCAAGGTGCTAGATTTATATCTCTACTTTGAATAAAATTCAACTCATTATTTTGTGTTTAGGCCAAAATTCAAAAGATAAAGCTTACAAACTTTCAGCTGAATATCCATTCAGACCAAATTCAGTTAAAGCTGTTTTATCTATTGCAAATACTCTATATACCCAAAGTTCTTTAGATGTAAGTACATGTTTATTAAAAATAAAGAAATATTAAATTAAATATTGTTTCCTACCCAGATATCCCTGTATACATTAAATTATGTTACATCATGTTATGTGGATCAAGGAATTAAATTTTACCTAATTGCTCCGATTCATCTAAATGATCCGTCAACAAATGGAGCATTTGGTGAGTATTTTTCTAATTAAATATCATTCAACAGTTAATACAAATTAATTATAAAATTTAACTTAAATACTAAATCTATTATTTTTATAAGTACTTTTTGTCAAAAAATATGATTGTTGATTGTGTAAAATATAATAATAATGGAAACAATAATATATTTCATCATATTAAAAAAACATTTTTAATAAAGCTATGTTTACTATACACATAGTATAATATAAAAAGTATAAAAAATTATACTATATAACTTGAGATATTTTAAATATAATTACTCATACGATATGAAAAAATTTAATTTTAAAATCTTATAATACAAAATAAATGCGAAGGAAAAACCTGTACTTATTTGAAAAATTGAAAACTATAATTGGTTTATATATTTTTTTGCATAGAACTTCAGTGTTACTTTTATATTTAAAATAGTGTACACAAAATTAAAATTAAAATATCAAAGAATCTAGATCTAAAATTTATAAGTAACTGTTTTTCAGGAGCAAGTGGTACAAATATAATTTATTCATTGTCTGATCCCAAAGGTAGATATAACAAAGATGAATTTATTTATGACCAATCTTTAGAGACTGATTTGGTGTTAAAGGTCAGTATAATAATTTTTCTTTGAAAATTGTAACTTACCACCTACTTATGTTTTATTACCAATTAATTAATGCAAAAATATATTGTTGTAGACAAATGGAGCCATGTATGATATCAATTTTTTCACTGATGCCACTGGTGATGATATGAAAATTTTCATTCGATCCTTAATCATAACGATTGTCAACAATGCTATTAAAGATTCAACTGTAGAAAAAACTTGTTCCAGTTCATTGTACAATGGAGTTATGCCATATGCAAGATGCACTATTGAGACAAACTAATCATCAAAATAATTTCTAGAAATAAGAAGTGACTATTTAAAAATATTTCTTTACATAGAACTTACATCAGTATAAATAGCATGTATTAAAAATTCTGAATTATTAATAAATGTATTACAATTGTTGTTCATAGATACAATTATATGTTTGAGCCAAATATAATTTGAAGAAAAAATTTTATATTGTATTTTTTTTTAAATAAAAATATGTATCTCCCTCCCCTAAGAATTGTTGAATGTATTAATTACTACATTATTAATTTTATTGTAGTTAAGATTATTATTTTTATTTCTTATTATTGTATAAAATATATATTTATATATTTAAAAAGTTAAAATGTTTAAAAAAACAAATTAAAAATTAAACCATGAATATAACCATGAGCTGATATAAATATAATTAGCAAAGAAAATTCCTATGAGGGGTCAATCGAATTATAGTGATGGTAATAGTAAATTAATAGTAATAGTAATTTATTATAATAAATTAAAAATTTGTTTTATATAACACATTATGTATATTATAAAGTATTTAATTCTTAAAGACAAGAAGTCAATGCAACTCAAAATAAATATACAAACAATATAATATAATAATTAATTCAAGTAGTATAAATGTCTTACAGTGGTATAAAATAATTATAACGAATAATGGTTGTTATGAGAATAAATACATTATTAGGAATCTATAATAGTAATAGTCTAAATAAATAATAATACTTAATGTTTTTTATCATTTCACTTAAAGTATTAGTATACAACTCAAATATTCAATTTAATAGTTAAAAAAGTCATTTATATTGTATATCAATTAATTTTTGCATAAAATATATATTAATTATATATAGTAATATTCTTATACAAACATTTAACAAATAAGATTTCAGTATGATTAATGTTACATTTTTTTTTTATAAAAATTATTATTCAGATTTTATTTAATTAATGAAAAAAAAACAGCACAAAAAAAATCATTAATTATTATGGCAGTGTCTAGTGAAAGTCAAGTTGTTAATAGTAATTAATACTGTAATGTTTGTATTTAGTTGGCAAATATTTTATTAGTCTAATTTTAAATAATTATATTATTAATTCAATTAATATTACCTAAATTAGAGGCAATAGAAAATAAGCATTTATTTTCTACAGTATACAATTAAAATGTTCTTGTACTATTAGGTATATATTGAATAAGAATTTGTGAAAGGTTTATATGTATAAGTCACAATCACACCAATAACACAAATTTAAACATTTATTTATTTTGGCATAAAAATATACTAAGGTGTTAATACTTGAAAAATCTTTAATTGTGTAATAAAAAGGAAAAACTCACAAACATATGGCACAGCTATAAATATTTGGTGTTAAAAGAATTTAAAACATTTAGATACCTAGTTTAAAGTACATTACCTAGTATAAAATACTAAGTAATAAATAAATGTGATGATAATTTTAATTTTAATTAATTTTCACAGATAAAAGCATTTATTGTGTTTTCTAATGCATCAAAACATTTGGCAGTGAATTAAATAGTTTTATAAAAAAAGAAAATATATAATTTTATATAATTGTTTACTTTTTTAATTAAAACCCTGACTAATTAAAATGCATAGTTAATGCCTGAACACAAATGGCTAATGTATTAAAAGTGGAATGTTATTTAATAATTAATATGAGCATATTATCTATATATTATCTATTGCCTCTTAAGAACATAAATATTTTAATTTTAGTATCGAACATCACAGCTATTAATTAATTAAGAAAGTGTAGATAACAACAAACTCAACGAGTCAGATGTAAATATTGATTGAATTAAAATACAAAGAGATGCAGGTAGGAACAATTGGGATCTGTTAATCATTTCTCTAGACTAGATGGTGGGGTATAGGAAAAACCGGCAAACACATTATCTATTTCAAGTTTATTGGTCGAAATGTTTTCATCGCAAAATGATGACATGGACGAACTGACTGATTCCTTTGTGAACTGTGGATCAATATATTGTAAATCACAAACACCATTCTACAAAAACAAATTACAATAATTATTAAACTAGAAAAATTAATTTTATTTTATTATTATAATATACCATGCATCAGCAGTAATAGTTTATTTTTCTTATTATATTAATATACTTGTAATCAATGTAAATGTTTGAATATTTAAACAGTATTTACCAGTTGAGGTTGAAAAGGTGGTACAATTCGCTTGTTCAATAAATCTTCCCAATTAATTGATTTGAAAAATGGATGTTTTTTGACCTCATTAAAATCCTGAGCATTGCTACCAAGTCTTTTACTACATTGTTTTTCCAATAGCTAAAAAAAAAATTATAATATTAACATTTTTTCTTTTTTAATTTTATCTTTGACAATAAATGTAAATTACAAACTTTATGCAATATATTTTTGCACTGTGTTGAGACGGGTCCTTTTATTTTTAATCTACTATATAAAACTAAATTGTACATCTCTTGTATATTTATACTATAAAATGGTGGAAGTCCAAATAACATTTCGTATAACACTGCCCCAAGACACCACCAGTCTACTGATCGACCATATGCCTAATAATAATAATAATAATAATAATAATTTTTTTTTAAAGTTAATAGAACTAAAAGTAACTTGGGTAAAACTAAAATTACTTCTTTTCTAATTATTTCAGGAGCAAGATACTCAGGAGTCCCACAAAATGTATTTGTTGTTTCTGTTTCCATAAGACCTTCTTTACAAAATCCAAAATCAGTAAGGACTAAGTGTCCTTCTTGGTCAAGTAATAGATTTTCCGGTTTGAGGTCTCTGTAAATAATACCATTGGAGTGAAGATATCCAAGAGCTGATGCTATTTCAGCAGCATAAAACTTGGCTCGGTTTTCTGAAAATCTGACTTCTTTTTGTAAATGATAGAATAACTGAAATTAAAACATAATGGTGCACTACAAAGCTAATACTTAATACACCAAAAATTTAGTTAATTTACCTCTCCGCCATTAACAAAATCAAGCACAAAATAAAGTTTATCTTTGGTTTGGAAGCTGTAGTGAAGGCCAACAAGAAATGGATGATTGATATTTTTTAAAAGTACATTGCGTTCACACATGATATGCTTAACTTCATTTCTTGCTAGTATGTGTTTTTTGTCCAACACTTTGACAGCAAAGTGAGTATTTTCATTTTTGTGTTCAGCCAAAAATACTTTACCAAAACTTCCCTTTCCAATGATATGCAGAAATACAAAATCTGATGGATTTGCTCTAAAAGGTTCAGGAAAAAATTTTTATTTAAAATGAAATAATTAATAGAAATTTTTAAACAAAAATCTAGATATATAGAAAGGTATAAATCTTTTATTTAAATGTAACTTTATACACAATTTATAATTTATAATCTCACAACTTAAGACTATTTTTTTTTTATTCAGATTTATTTTTAATAAAATAAATAAATTATCACTTACGATGGTCTTTCTGAAGGCCCCAAATGTATTGTACTACAGCATTTAAAAAGGATTGGTTTATTTGGTTCTTTAATTTTAGTATCTAAATTGAAAAATTTGCGAACTTCAATTCTGAAAAAAAAAATATACCACAAAAATAATATATGTTTTTCTTAATTAGAAGAGATGATATAAAGAAAAAATATTCAATTAGTATGCAATTTATCTTTTTACATTCATAAATAAATATGAATCAAAATATTTTAAATCTTAAATAAATTAAAAAAAAAAATCCTTTTACAATTCATATTTACACTAACTTACCCATAACAAGTTTTCTGATTAATAATTGTGTTTCAATAATGGAGAGATTTATTCAATAAATAATAATATATTAATCTTTAAAAATGTTAAAATATGACAAGTACAAAAAAATCAACAAACTGTTTTTTTTTTTTTTTACTTATTTTGGAAATTGTTACTTCAATTGGCTTAACCTATTTAAAATTAAATTATCAATGAAGTTTATAATGTTTATTAAATTAAGTTATAATTTTATAAGATTTTAGTTAAATGCTATTTATAGTAAGATACTGAAACTTAATATAATACAAAACATGCACTATCTAAAATTAGTTATATAATGTTACCTGTTAATGCGCACAAACTATTTAAGTTTCCTCTCTGAAGAAATTAAATTTAATAATTTAAAATTATATAAAGTAGAGTAATAAATAAATAAAATTAAATCTCAATTCATTAGATCTTAATGATAATAGCTGATAATTTAGGTACAAATATTAACATAAAACCAGCATTTTTGTTAAAATATTATCTGTTATAATTTGAATCAGAAATAAATTATTATTTTAGTTTATAACATTTACTAAATAATTACACAATAGCTGTAAACTAGAATGAGATAAATTAGTTAAGCTTACATGTTTAGTAAATTGTTTTGATGCATTAAATGATGTACAAATTGATCAAGACCTTCTCGCCGAGAGGCAATGAATGAAGGATCCATGTTGTTACAAAACAACTTCTTACCTGGTATTTTTAAGTTTAAATCAGGCACCTAATTATAAAATACAAATTGTCAATTGATAAAATTAAATAAACAAATAATATTTTACTTGTTTTTTGAGTATTTCACTAAGTTTGTAGAATTCATTATAACGTCTAAATACATGCCAACACTCGTTCTGTGACCAAATTACAACTTTATACACCTAAAAATAATTTACATAAGACTTTAATTTTGCGTGTGTAATTTACAGTGAAAAAAGAACCATATCATACCGTGAATTTTTTATCTTCTTGCCAAACTTCTGCTTGCGAAACCATGGCATTAGTTTTTTCATGATTTCCATCCATAGGCAATCTGGTACAGTTTTCACATTTGTCTTCGACTCGTGCACTCGAGTAGTCATCCATGACGTCGACGGAGGACTTGGAAAAGCCACTGATGGCAGAGTACCCACCCCAGCCTTTATAATAAACACAAAAGCAAAACCAATTCAAACACATAGTAGGTTTAGTCATTTTTACAAACAGAAATTTAAAAAATGACCCAGTGACCTACTAATAGACATTGGATCTAATTTCGTCACAAGGAAAAATAACAATTATTTTACATAATAGTTGAGCAGGAAAATTTATTACCTCACCACGACAAATCCATTAGCATTCCACTTCCCACTACTGTCACATACATGTTTATTGTTTACTGACTAATAAAATAATTAAATCCGTGAACACTGAACTTTCCATTTTTAGAACTGCACCTCTTATCATTTACGGAGCATGCGCTGTGCATAATATTATCACTGCAATAATAATATCACAGAACAAAATATTACGGAAATGAATATTATCATTCCATTTTGCATTCACTCACTATCACTTCATATACAACAACAACAAAAACAGCTCACTGCGATAAGAATTAACATTATCGTTTAGCGGTTCATCCCATTTCTTTGCCAACAAAATACCAACTATCAGCGAATCTAATACGTGTTCACATCATTAGAGTATTGTAGATTTGAGATTGTAATATTTTCTCATTTTACTTCAATTTTTTGTTACGATATTTAAGTTTTTTTTTCAAAATGGCTCAAGAACAAATGCCTCCCAGAGAGTTCTTATGGGACATGTTTCAGAAGTAAGTTAATCTGTTTTATAATTATACAATATTAAAAAGTAATTTAATTAAATTTAATTATGATATAGATTGGATAAAGACAGAAGTGGTTCTATTACAGCTAGCGAATTACAGACTGCATTATCTAATGGTACTTGGACACCATTTAACCCAGAGACGGTTCGATTAATGATGGGTAAATTAAATAATAGTCTAATAAATAAAACAATTTCCATAAAGATTTCTAGATTAAAGGTTTCCATGAAATAAATGAGTTATTATTTTTAACTTTATAATATAAATTATTTATTAAGAGGTCATTATTTATACATATTAGTTGATTTCATGTACAACCTTATCATTAATGTAGTAAATTTTTTAAAATGTCAAATGTATTTGTGTAAATAATAATTAATAGCACAATTAATGACACCAAAATGATAACTAAATTAATAAGTTGAAAGTATTGCTGTTTATATTATACATATAATATAAAATGTCATTGTATAAGGATTATTAATTAATCAACTCTATACAGACTGTAAATTCCAGTAACTAATATAATCTATACATATATTTTAACACATTAAAAATGATCTATCTGTATAATAACTTTTGAGTAATTCTGTTGTGTGTGAAAAAAGTATAAACATTAATATTCTATGTATAGTATACTGGCTGTTCACGCTAAGAGGTACCGCTAAATATTTCAGTTTGATGACCTTGTATTGAAATGGGGTTTTCAAGGAATGAATGAAAGTACCGAAATACATAATTTTAGCCTAAATTTTTGACTTAAACAGTACGCACATGCGCAATACAACTTACTTTTTTTTAAGTACACTCTTGACTCTCTTTCATTCCTTGAAAATCCCATTTTAATACAAGGTCATCAAACTGAAATATTTAGTGGTACCTCTTAGCGTGAATACACTGTATAAATATAAGATTATACTATAATATTAATGGGTACAAATTAAAAAAAATATGTTAAATAAACTATGTAAAAGAGCTCCTCTTTGGTCATATACTATGGCTCATTTACTGATAATTATATATTTTTTGGAATCATCTAAGATCCTTTAAATTCTCTTCCAATATAATATATAAAAGAGTACTTATTTACAGTTATTTACTGATGAATTTTTAGTTTAAGATTTAAATAAAAAAGAATTTCATTTAGGAGAATAAAAATAATTAATAATGATGTCTAAAATGATATATTTTTCAATAATTTATTTTATTTTATTTTTCACCTGTTATAAAAACATAATTAATTGTTAATTATTGTATTGAATTACTATTTGCTTTATTTTAACTTTTTGTTTAAATATATATATATATATATATATATATTAAATATTACAATACAAAAACCTCCTATAGTATTGGTCTGACACATTATTATAATACCCTAAACCTAAATATGTTACATTTCTAAAAATGTAAAATATAATATATTAGTATTATTTTTTCTGTAAACTGGTAAATTAATATTCCATGTATAAATTATGAAATTAATTTTTGAATCCAACTTTAAAAATAATATTATTGAGCTTTTATTTTTAAGGACAACAAATTATTATAAAAATAATTCAGCAATTTTTTTATTTTAAATACCCATGATACCTACTGGATATAATGGTGAATCTAATAAATAAATAATAAATTGAAAGTGTTGTATTTGAAAATAAAATGTAGCTGAATTTTGTATTATGTATATTTAATTTAATATATTCAATGGTAATTCCATAATTATTAATGTTAAAAGCCGTATCCAAAATATGATGTTCATTAAAATGTATTTGTATGTAATTTTAGCTATGTTTGATAAGTCAAATAAAGGTACTATAACATTCGATGATTTTGGAGCATTATGGAAATATATTACTGATTGGCAAAACTGTTTTCGTTCATTCGATAAAGATAATTCAGGAAACATAGACAGAAATGAACTTCGAGCTGCATTACAAACATTTGGATACAATTTAAATGATGCTACTGTTGCTACAATGTTACAAAAATTTGATAGACTTGGTAAAGGAACCGTACTTTTTGATGATTTCATACAATGCTGTATTATGCTTAATGTAAGTTAATAACTTAAATCATGTCATAATTATATATGGGCTTATATATATTTTTTGTTATTTTTCAGAATTTAACTACAGCATTCCGTCAATTTGATACTGATCAAGATGGAGTAGTTACATTACATTATGAACAATTTGTTGGGCTTGTATTTAGTATTAAATAATTATTTGTATAAATGTAATTTAATTTTATATTACTTCCTATTTTTTTAAAATATACTAGGCATCAAGATTTAATGATGTTATAAAATTTTGTTAATTACACTTTATTTTCAATATTACTCGAAAGCTAATAAATATTGTGGTACAATTAATGAAAATTTTTTTATATTCAATTAATAAAAATGTATTTTATAAAATATTATTTAGTAATGTATGATTAATTTGCTGACAATATTAAGTAATACAAATTAACTGTACAAGAGTATTAAATTACAGTTATTTGAAAAATCTTAATCCTAAACTTAACAATAAAAATGTGTACAATTAGTTTTTACATAACCGATGTTGCAATTCCACTTAATTTTTTTATATCAGCAATCAATTTTTTAGAAGCTACTTTATAATCAATAGGCTTCATATTGACTATAGAAACTTTTAATCTTGTTTCATTGTTATATGTTTCCATTTTTGCTCTAGCTCTAACATCAAACAATTTGAACATCTGCCTTTGAAAAACATCACTATATTCTTCTTTAGAATCTTCCATTAGTCTTCCTAATTCTTGACTTGAAGTACCCAAAAAACTTTCAGCTACTTCCTGGAACATGGTTACCCATTGATTTCCAGTAAAATCACTTAATTGAGCTGAAAGCATAAATCTATATTTGAAATTTTCTGTTTCATCATTACACTTTTCACAACGATATGTTCCATCATTTCGGTCAACAACTTTTTTTTGACAATCAGGTTTTGGACATGCTTTATATAATGCAGATTCAGATTTTACAAATATCAAATACGAATGCATACTGTAATAATCAGCTTTATCTCCATTACCAAGTTGAGCAAGTTGTGCTCCTTTAATTGTGAGAAACTGGTTATTAGCTCCACCTTCAGAACGAGCAGACAGGCTATTAAATTCTATGTTTGAAGGAAGAGAATCAAACCAACCCCTTAAACGATGTGCTTCTTCTATATCAGGATTTATTTGCATTACAGTTGAACCAAGAAGTGACAATGATTTACTACCCATAAATTCTCTGATTCTGCTTCCTTTTATAGCAACTACAGGTTGTAATGATGCATCAAAATCTTCTGCCTGAGTATCCCATAATGTAATAGTAATTGAACTTAAAGACTGATCAACTATTGTCACATCTCTTTTTTTCAATTCTTTTCTTGTAGTTTTTGACACCAAATTAACTACATCTCCAGCAGTTTGACAGACTCCTATAACATCTACTATACCATCAACTTCAACATTTTTAACTTCACTTAACTGAATGAAATTGAATTTCAAAGCAGGCATTTGTGATTCATCAAAATCATGACATGGAAATACTTGAGTTTCTCCGGAAAGCGTGAGTTCATAATCATTATTTAGATTTGAAAACTTTTTATTTGCAGTTTTAATAGCACCACGAGTGATAAAATATACTTTATTTACTTCAATCATATCGAAAAATTTTTCACATTCACTATTAAAGGCAGTAGCACGTATTTCACCACTTTCATCTACCAGATCCATGCTGAATAGTTTTCCTTCACCTCGTTGGTTGTTCCAAGTACGTACTGGGGCTTTGTACACAACTCTAGCCCTAATAGTCCATTTGTTTTGATATGGGCTTAAAGAATTGATGGGATGAATGTTGCTGACATCGATATCTCTCTGAAGACCATTATTGACAACACTGGATTGGGCTGCATTAAGTTTTACTGGCGGTTTAGACTGAGTTTTAGGTACTGTATCTACTGAAACGGAAGTTCCATTTTCAACAGCAAGTCCAGTATTATCTACAATTGGTTTTGGATCCCCGATTTTGCAACGCACAGTTTCACCATCAATCATTACATTTAACTCTATAAGAATCATGACTTGTTTACTTCCTTTATTACGATCGGTTAAATTACTGATAATGTGTCGTTTTATTTTCAGAATGGCAAATTCAGTAAGTTCACCGGATGAAACCATATGATTTAACTGAGTGGCCAACATAGCGAATGAATTTAAATTATGACCATCAGAAATAAGTAAACGATATCTTTCATTTGCTCCTGCAGCAGTAATCTTTCGAACACCAAGAACTTGCATAACAGGATCTTTAACCTCTATATTATTCATCATTGATTTCAAAGCACCCTTAGTCAATAAATGTTCGTACTCCATTTTTATGATGTACACTTCCTGCAAAAAAAGAGAAAAATAATAATTTTAATTCATTAAAAAAAGCTAGCAAAAAGTTGTAAATCGATAATGCATACATATATACTATTAAACGAGTGTAATTAAAAGTAATAATATTTAACAAGATAGTACAGAACTAAAGAATATTATATAAAATCATAAGGTAGTAAAGTTAGATTATTATCCATAAGGAGACTAAAATAGTAAAAGTAATCGAAATATTAAGGGTTAATATACTAAAACTAATTAACATTATATTACCAAAAATAATATTTTCCTTGAAAAGTTAGAATAACCCATTATAAGACCAATTAAAAATATTAACTCATTATGAATTCAATCTGACGGGTAAGATAACACAATGCGATTTAATCAAGTATAACGAATGTCATTAACGTAATGAATTAGCTAATTCAACAAAAATAACATATCTTACCTTTAAATAAAAGTATATTTCAATCGATTCAAATTAAAAAATTTAAGTAAAGACGACTCTAATTAAGATTCAATTAATATAAAATATAACACGATGCTTATAAGAAAATATTAAAATCCAAATAATCTACGGCAACCCACAATCAACTAACAAAAAGTACGCACATTGAGCGGGAAATATGTTGATAGGAGTACTAATCCAAAGTCAAGGAAGTTGAAAAGTGAGTTTTCTTAATTTTATTTTCCCGCCACACAAATTCAAGGTTTTGTACGTTTTTGCTCAACAAATCATAATAAATAATAATTAATATTATTATTCTAAGTCGAAAAAAAAAAACTAGAAGATGATTTTTAAATGATAATACAACGCTATTTTGGGATAGTACTTGTAATTTAGTTATTGCACTGATTGTTTAATGTTTATCAATAACCAAAATACAACTGAAATTATTTTTAAATTAATATATAAGACAACATTTAATTTCTTATTCACCTGTAATTTTCAACGATTTTATAACAATGATGCAAACAAAATATGCAAAAATTATTTTAATTGGTCGAAACATTAACCAAAATTCCAAGCAAATCAATATATCGATCTTACAAAGATAATTTTTTCTACTATTTAATGTTCTTTATGAACAAAAAATATATTTTTAAATTTAATTAAAAGTTTGTGATATAATAATTTTGAAAATGTATATATATATATAATATAATATAATATAATATATTAACAAGCATATTCCAAAAAATTATCCCATGGTTTAAATGTTTTTACGTTTTTCAAAAACAATTTCATGGTTCATGAAAATCAAAATCAAATTCCAAAACATCTTGTTACTAGCAGTGTTGGGATTAGATAATGCAAAATGTATCTAGATAAAGATGAAAGATAATATGTCCAAATTCATCTAGATAAAGATAATAGATAAAAAAAGATATTTTCAAAAATTTTATTTTTTAGTCAATATTTCATATTTGTAATAATATTTATGAAGACTTAATTATAATTATTATTATCAATAGGTACCTAGGTACTTAATGTTTATTGTAGTAATGTTGTGTACCATTAATAATCATTACTGGCTAGTAACTTACTAGCCAGTAATGATTATCGTGATCTTCTGACTTAAGACGCTTGGGAAATTTAATAATTCATGTAGATGACTTTAAAGCATAGACGTAAATTTGGCTACCTTAATGGAGGAGGATTGCATTTTTAATATAACAGATTAGTGGAATGCCCGATTCCTGCATCCCTCCTATATATATTCTGTAAATACAAAACATTTATAAAATAAAAAAATAGGTACGGTTCTAAAAACGATTTATTTAACAAAAAAGAAAAAAAATTGTACTTAATAATAAATAACATTTTTTTACTTTTTTTTTTCTTACTTCACACTTTTTTTTTAATATAGGACAGATATCGGATTAAATTTATTCTGTAACATGGACGTACATAACCATTTATTCAAAAATTAAATAACACAATCTAATACAGGATAATAAGCGTGATATTTAAGTAATATTTATTACTTTTCTTTGATTTCTTAGGTGTGTTATATTGTGAATATGTAGTAGTAAATAAAAAAAATAATATGATAGATTATTTGATTTTAACGTATTTTTTTATTTCCATATAATTATTCATAAACAGGTATTATTTAGTTTGTTATATTATATACCTATTTAGATTTTAGGTTAAAACAAATAGATGCTATACAATGTGATGTTAAATTAAACCTGTCCAAATGAGAACTTATTCTATAAATTGATATTATTTTATTTTATCCTTTTTATCAATATGCACCTACTTATATGTTTTATGAAATTTAACACTGAAATAGATCTATCATTATTAAATTTTAAAATATTTTTAAATTCAAACGTAATAAGCACCCGTACGGTCATATAGTATATTATTCATACGATTACGCAGCCACAATTCACGTGTAGTCATAGTGTTTGTTTATTTTTAAAGGTTTAGGAAGTATATGTATATACCCATGGCCAAATCAAGGGGGGGGGGGGGGGAATAATATGAAAAATGCTGACTACAATATTTTTACTCAATGTATGTAGTATGATTAACAATATGTAGTCGTATTTTTACTTTTTAACATGTATATATGTGTCAGTGTCGCACGTTATTAAAATTGAAAATTTAATTATATATATATATATATTTTATATTGTATAATAAGTAGTTATATACATTTTATTCGTGTATACACTGTATTACGAAATATATAATTTTTTTTTCCCGTAAGTAAAATTAGGTCCTTCTAGGGCCTAGAATCTAGGATATAATGAAATAAGTCCGACTGCCGACTGATGTTTTTGTTGGGTGAGTGAGAGACCACCCTTCGAGACACCCCTGTATATACCTCGTACATAAATACAGTACACATATTTTTCGACAAACGAAATATGGTCGATCAACGTTCTCGAAGAATCCTTGGTTATATTATTATTATTATATTGTTCCATGATTACTCAATATGGTAGAATGCTGTCATAAAACATGCTACATAAAACAGTGGTAAATTTTAATTATTATTCGAAAAGTAAATAAGAAAAAAAAAAAAAGAGTGAAATCCCGCGATGATAAAATTCGCAGTGCAGCCAACGCGAAACGGAATCGACTCGGCGATCGTCGTCGTGGGCAAAGGAAAGAAAAACAAAATTTAGAGATCGTGAAAAATCTTGTCGGTCGAATTTGATTTTATTATTGCGTGTTTCCTGAAACGCGACGACGAACAACCGAAGCGAAAACGGACGCGGCGAGTACTCCGTCATTAACGGCGCTGATCCGCCGCGTCGATGGTTTTCTTTTTTTCGTTGGTTTTTCGAGGAAGCCGGCAGTCTAAGGGCGAGGAGAGGTTTGTTACGATGTTGAGCGCGTAGTTGCCAAAACACCATCATTATAATTAATATTACTGTACACATTTTCATGGGGTCGGTGTATAACCACTTCCCCTCTTAGCGAACAACGTCACTTCGTCTTTCTCGTGGTCTCTTTCAATCGTTCTCTCTCTATCCCCCATCCCAACCCCTCCCGAACGACCGTTCACCGCCTACGAGAGGCGCAGTCGCGCGCGCACGCACACACAACACGTACCCACACAGTTGACGGCGGCAAGCACACACGCCACGTTTTCACACATACACACACGCACGAAAAGGTGAGCGCGCGCACCAACCACCGCGCACACAAACACACTCGTCGTCAACACGGGTCAACGTTTCTCGCGCAACACTGTTAATCTCTTCCGAAGCACCGCTGCCTACGCGTAAACATTTTTCGTCGAAAGTCCCCGAACGTCGACGAATGTTACGCGCTGCGTCGCGTTCGCACGGTCCTAGACGGTAAGTCCAAACCATCCACACGCACCGCCGTCGCACTCGTGACCGCGGTCCACTACGGGGCTCTTTGGGACGACCAGCAGTTGTGTTACCAACGACAACATCGTCACCGCCGCCAAACGTAATCAGCCATCCTCGCACAGACCGCTGTAGGTATTATACCGTATATTTATCGTTGCGTCTGGGGTTTTTCTCTCCCATCACTTTTCCGTCGTAGTTTTCAGCAAAAAATGGCCGATCAGCAGCAATATTTCTTGAAATGGAACGATTACCAGAGCAACATGGTGTCATCATTCAAACACCTGAGGAACGAGAAGAGTTTCACCGATGTGACACTTGCATGCGAAGGACAGACATGCAAAGCTCACAAAATGGTGTTATCAGCTTGCAGCCCTTATTTTAAAGCTTTACTAGAGGTAAATTGTCATGACTCTTTTGGTGTACCTATGTAAAACATGAAATCCTACTTATTTCATGTAATCATTTCCTTCTAATTGTTTTATCGGCATAATTCTAGTTTAGTAACCTATCGATTTTTTTAATTTTTTATTTCCAAAATGTGTGTTTTAGGATGTTTTATAAGTATGCTAAACAAACGTAGCCCGGACAAACTTTGTTTCGAAATTATCGATGAAAAACTTCAAAAACTACATTTTTTTTCATAACGCGCATTTTTTTTAAAAAAAAATACTTAGAATTGAATATTTAATTTTAATTTTCACATATTTACATTTTTATTGTTCCTGTTATCTACTTGAGGGGGTTTTGCATAGCAAGTCGAGGGATATTTTTGATTTATGGAGCGAAGCGACGGCGCCGAGGAGTGTTGCGACGAGTGCTGAAACACTCGTATAATAGTTTCATTGGCCATTGCCGATACCACACGCATCGTTTGCAAAAAATTTTTATTTCATTTTCACACTATTAGACAATTTTTAGTGAATTATTCTTCATAAATACTTTGTATGTAGGTGGACCGGGGTCAATTGTTGAAATTGACGAATCAAAATTCGGAAGAAGAAAATATCACAAAGGACATCGCTTTAAGTTTTTGAAGTTTTTCATCAATAACTTCAAAACAAAATTTGCTCAGGGTTCTTTTTTTTTTTACATATTTATAAAACACCCTAAAACACATTTTAGAAAAAAAAATTAAAAAAATCGATAGGTTGCTAAACTAGAATCGTTCCGTTTTATCTGTTATGGATGGGTCATAATTGATTAGATTGTGTACTACTGAGATAAATAATTATTATTTTATCTATAATATAGTCTGAAATGATAGTATTGTTGATCTTCCTGTTTTCAAGAATTAGTTTTAACTAAATAATTATCTAATGGTATACATAATGTTTGCACATCTCTATTTTTATTATTATTCACTATTTTACTTAAGCAGTTAAAATATTGTATATTCAAGTTTTATAATGTGAGTAATGTAATAGTTATATACTTGTGTATGAATAATTTTAGTTTTAAATGTAGTTATTACATAAATAACATTGTAAAATAGAGCTTTTGTGCCCAGAAATATTTAGTAGAATTTTATAATATGTAAGAAATTAAGTCTTGTATTTATATATTTTGCCTTTTAAAATGTTTGAATTATCCTATACCAGATCAGTAGGTTATACATATAATCAATGTATTCTTATATACAGTGTGATCACGATTCAAGGTAACACTAAATATCTCAGGTGGATGTTCTTGTATTGAAGTGAATATTTTAGAGGGCCTTAGGAGTTAAATATATATTTATTCATGATTTTCAAATTTTTAACATTTATGGTGTGCACATGCGCAATACAACAACTTACATTTTTTTTAATGGGAACACTACTTTTTTTTATATATATTTCAATAGATTTTTTTTTTTAATACATTTTTTGCTTTATAAGTTTTTTCTATTTACAAAATTGACCAAGTTAGTAGTGGTATATATAGGGGGGTGCCTAGTGGGCTACAGCCCTTCTGAAATGTTGTAAAAAATTTAAAAATTATTTTAAACATTTGTTATATTTTAATGGTGCTTATATTGAAATAATTTTATAAAAAAAAAATAGAAAAATAATCTTAATCTGGTTGGTTGCATTTATTTTATTCAATTATACTTCAATAGTTCATTAAAATGTTTTAAGGCTCTCATTTTATGGTTCAATGCTTATTATTAAGAGTTAATTATGTATGAATAAATAAGTTATAATTGTATAATACAAGTACATTTTATTCATAGCATATTTTATTATAGAAATAGTCCAGTAGACTTACTCGTATATTAAATAGTCAAGTACGAGTACTACATCATATATCCTTTGTTTATAAATACAGGTTTATACTAACTATAAGAAATACGTAAATAATGTGATCAGTTAAGACAATTTTTATTGATTCTGTCAAATATTTTTGGGACATTCTGTAAATGAAATGTAGACAAGTACCTACTGTGTCTTGTTAGTAATTAGATAGCAGTGGCAATTTAACTCTGTCCATAGTAACCCCCATCCCCAAGAAAATATTTTCTGTATACGCCACTGCAAGTTAGAGTAAGTTAAAATTTGAATTTAGGCATAATTCGTATACTAATAATTGCATAATTGTAAACTAAAAATTATAGTGTTATAGTATTTCATACTTATATTGTTATTTATAGTGGTTATAAATGGAAATTCCATTATTAAATTATTATTTATAAACAGATTAGGTAAATTAAACATTTATCTGGCACTTATTTTATTATTTACAGTGGTTATAAATGGAGTTTAACACGAATTATGCATAAATTCAAATTTTGACTTACTCTAACTTGGTCAATTGTGTAAATAGAAAAAAACTTATAACAAAAAATAGACAAAAAATGTTTAAAAAAAAATTATCCAAATATGTAAACAAAAAGAAGTGTTCCTATTTAAAGAAATGTAAGTAGTATTGCGCATGCACTCACCATAAGTGTTAAACATTTTAAAATCATGAATAAATGTGTGTTTAAGTACCCCCTAGGCCCTCTAAAATATTAATTTCAATAAAAAAACATCCACTTGAGATATTTAGTGTTATTTAGTAAATCTTCATTACACTGTATATGTAAATAGATTTGTATAAAATTTATACTTATTTATTAATACTATTTTTATAATTTATAAATGATGAGATTCTAAAGTTTAGTCTCTTCTTTTTCAGACAGATTCAGACTAATATTTTGATTTAAAAAGTTATATCCATTATCCAAAGCATTAATAATGTTTGTAAAAGACAATTTTTTTCCATTTAAAATTCAACTTTGTTAATGAATAAGAAATTTTCACCAACATTTATACAATATTTAATATTTGTATTAAATTTTTGATATTTTCATGAGTCATTACAATCATTAAAAGTGAATTGTTCTATTTTACCAGAAATTAGATTTTAATGTTCACAAATTCTATTAGAATGTTTTTATTTGTTGAATATATTGTCAATATTGTTAATTGTTATAATACTCAAGGTTTTAGTTTTCTTAGGTAATTTTCATTAATTGATTAAATTTATTTTTATAATAAATATTTATATTATCAACCATATGTATAAAATTAAAGTAATTTTTTATAGTATACTACAAATTACAATTTATAGCTACTACGATAATTAAAATTAAAAATAGATAGATTCTGTTATCTTTGTATATATTGTATTTTTAATAAATATGGAGCATTTTGATATAAAGTGATTATTCATTTATTTTTATTAAAATAATCATAATATTATGAATAATATGCTAAATCTTGTAGTTTTTTTTTTATAAAATTAATTAAGTATTTAAGTATCTTGAACGTACATTTTTATTTATTTATTAGTAATTAAGTCTAAATTAGAAATTGTTTAAAAAATAATTAAAATCAGTTGTTATTTATATTTAGGAAAATCCATCAAAACATCCGATCATAATTCTCAAGGATGTACCGTTCAGTCATTTGCAATCTATACTTGAATTTATGTATGCAGGAGAAGTTAATATAAGTCAAGAACAATTGCCAGCTTTTTTAAAGACAGCTGATCGTTTGAAGGTGAGAAAATATTTATTAATATACTTTTATCATATTTATCTTTTAGAAGAGAGACAGCTAAAATAAATTATTATGATTTTATAAAAATTATATCAACATTTCTGAATATATAAAAAATAAATATTAAATAGTTGCTGGATATTATGGCAACTGATATTATCTAATATAATGATTTGCATTAATTGTTGTTTGAGTATAAATTAAAAAAACTAATTCAGTGGTATATTAATTATCCATGATAATAATGAGGAATAGTCACACGGATAAATGAAAACCACAGTTAATTGAATTTTTAACAAATTTGAATGACATTTTTTTTCATTTAATTATTACATTTTATTTGACCTATGTTATATAAATACATATTGTCCTATTTTTAAATTATCTGGGTTTGAAACTTGAAGTAATCAGATATGAAATAATTTTTTTTATTTCACTCCTAATTTTTCATGAATTCATGAAAATCACGGAAGTTAAAATGCTTCTTTTTTATTAAGTTTATCTATATTTTAAAAATATTTTTTTTTAAATCCAATAAATAAGAATTAATCGAATAAGAATTATATTTTTAGAGTATAAATTTCATGAATTTTTACTTGTCTTTTTACATTATCCTCTCTTTGTAATATAAAAAAAGTTAAACAAATAATAACTGGTAAATAATGTAATATGTTAAATAAATACTTTTCAATTTAATATCATAGACTCTACGACTTAGATAATACACCTAAACATAATAAGTTATTTTTATTATGTGTTGAAATTATTATTTACAGGTTGAAAATAATAAATTGTATTTTTTTAGGTCAAAGGACTTGCAGAAGCTCCACAAACTATTAAAAAAGATTAGTATCTACTATAGCATTACTAAATATGTTTTAATTATTTTAAACTTTTATAGAAATATTAACAAAGAACCTAAGTTTGCATTTTTTCATTGATTTATTATTTTACATGTATTCTCTGTATAGAATACATTTTACGACAGTACAATATAAAGCCAAATACAACAAAAAAACATTATAAAATACAAATTTTATTTTGTAGAAAAAAGTATAGGGATTCTAATTTGTCGTTGTGTAGTTGCAAATTGTATTTTTTGTTTTTATATGAAAAATGAATCAACGAGTTTGTAAATATTATACTTGTCTTGTACATTTATCATAAATTACATTTATTTTTATTGTATTATGTTTTAATAGAGCATGTGAGTCTATATGTTAATTAAAAAAAAAAAAAATGTATAAACATATATTTGGATAATTTATAAAGAACTCAATAAATTTAGGTAAAATATATGTGGTTGATGTTTTTTAATTTTGTTTTAATTTGCTTGATTTAAGTGTCTAATTTTTATATGTTCATGTGCATTTAATAATCAAAATCAGAAATATTAAGTTAAATGTTATGGAAGTTAAGGTTAATCTTTATTAGTATTCTTCGGTACACATAGTTTTGAAACAATTTTAAAAGTTATAAAAATATAAATAAAACAATTGATTTATCAAATTTTAAGCCTGAGGAATAATAGTTAGTAATACAGTATGAATAATTTTTTTTTATGCATATTTATATACAACTATATAAATTCATGGTTATACAATAGAAATAGTGTTTAACATTAATATAACAAATAAAACTTTTTTTAGCAATTTATTAATTAGTGTCTTAGCATCAATCATGTTTTTTTTTATTTTTATTATAACTCATTTCAATTGAAATATTTTTATTAATAATTTATATTAATAGATTAGCCATTTATTTATATAGATTTAGTCAAACCATAAATTGCATATAATTAATATATTTTATTATATTTATGTGTAAATATTTTTTGAACTCAATATCTGGTGGTGTAAATTATTCTAAATAAGAAGGTACTTGTGTGTAATATGATTAAATATGTTTGGGTTGCAGGACATATATATGCTATATTCTTAATGTTAGTGTTTAATAAACAAGTTCATAATAAGACTATTCTTTCAGCAAGAAAAGATTCTGATCTAAGAATCCTACTGAGCTACCACATTTCTGTTTGTAAATACACTTTTTATATTGATAGAAACTAATATACTAGCATTGTTACCAAGATAACTACAACATACATTATAATGTTTAAAATTTAATAATTGTGAAATTAATTATGTAAACCAAAAATACTTGTCATCCTATTTTAATTTATATTAATCCACAAAATGTCCAAGCTCATGAATCTCATAAATTAATGAGGTTTGTCTATTTGCAGTAATGTTTATACTCCTAAATTATCAATCACAAAAGATGTAATTAATTATAATTTATAGGGCGCGGATTTTTATGTAATAAAAAAGTCAAAATATGTAAATATGTTCTTATTTTTGCTAAAATATGTATTGAAAAATGTAAAATATTTAACAAAAAACTGGTATTTTACATTAATTTTTAATAGTTATAGGTCAAAATATCTCCAGAAAAAATTTCTCCAAAAAAGAACTATTGTACAATACTGAACTATTTATGTCCGGGGAGCCTAATCAAAAAAGAAAGAAAAGGTACAAAGACCATGACGACAGATTACTAAGTATAGTAGAGAAATTTGATAATACGAAACCAAAAGTGCAGTATTTGAGGTGTGTTGCACATAATCTAAAACATAAAACTTTTTTTATTTTTAAACTAGCTTTTAAGCCTTTTTTTTATTTAAAAGTAATAACAAATTAAAATTGTAATTATAATGTGAGTGCTAATTTTTTTAAATTTAATTTTTAATTAAAACAACATAATTACCTGCCTTATTTGTAAATAAAGTATTTTTTAATGTAAATCTATAATTTATTACAAATTTATTTCATACCAAACTATTATAAATATACAAACCAGTGCAGATAAACAAATTTTTTCTAGAGATATTTTGACCAGAGTTATTTTTTCTCAGAGAAATTTTGATGGAGATATTTTGACCTGTCACCATTTTTAATTACTCGTATTAATTAATAATTATTCATTTAATTATCTTCATTGTTGTCTTTGAAATAATTGGATACGACGTACATTTAAAAATTTTCAAATTTTAATGTTAAGCAGTAAAGCATTTAGATTTCAGTCATTTTGTAGCGGCTGAGGGTGTATTCAGCATCGACCGAGGTTAAAAGGACGTATTTCATACCACATATGTCAGATGGTGTTACTTCTATATAATTTGATATATTTCCATTTTTATTAATAAGATTATATCTAATTGTTTTAATTTTTATTATAACTCTGGATTCTCCTTGAACTTAATTTAAATTTCTGTATTTTCCACTATCGCGAGGTTTTCAATTATTGTTAGATTTAATGTTTCTAATTTTTCATTTTTTAACCATAAAAAAAAATTGTGGAAATATATACTAAATTATTTTGCAAATTATTATTTTACATAATATCAGAAGTAATAACGATTGTAGTATCTGAATCAAGATTTGAAATATCTTCTTTCATTCAATTCCAATATAATAATGGTAAATTAAATAAAAACTACTGAAATGGTATAAAAATGTGAAATATTTACAAAATATGTGAAAATATGTAAAAAAAAAAAAGGTCTCATATTATTCAGGATGTTATGAAACGTGCTTATTTTTAATGGGAATTGATAAATTCACATTTAATAAAATTATGTAATTATATAAAAATCCACGCCCTAATAATTAATAACTAACACTGAATAATATATTTGTCAACTTGATGTACATCATACAAATAGGAACCTAATTTTGATGCAATGATTAATTATTTAATGATAGTACACTATTTATTATAAAATGATTGATGCTATAATTTTTAATTTTAAATACTTGGCAGCTTTAAGTGTAAAACCCAAATGTAAGGTGATTTATAGTTGGGAGAACTTTTTACACCTTGGTGAAATTCCTTAACTTAAAATATTATTAAGTACATAAAGTAAATTTTATGTCTACATAATAAGACCTGCAGAATTAAGTGGGTGAATGACTATTGATTGGACAACAAATAACACAGTGGAAATGAAGTTTATGACTTTTAAAAATAAAAATCTGTGGACTAGTATTTGATCCAGAATTAATTTAGAGAAGAAGCTGCAAGAACTGATGGATATGTAACTGATAATTTGCTTTATCTAAGGATTATGTGGGAATCATATTATTATTTACTAAGAGCAACATTGTATGGGTATATTTTAGAAAATGGTCCTGAGGTAACCCAAGAAAATGAGGATCTGAGAGTGCTTAAATTAGTATAACCCTATTAGACAATCTTAAAAAATTTGTTTCAAGAGTTGATGGCGGTTAAAATTCAATGTAATGGCATAAGAAAAAACAATTTGTATTTAATGTGATTTTATCAGTGTCGTGAAAATTTTTCTTTAACTAAAAAATTATAGGCAACAGCTTAGAATGTTAATTAAAAAAATGTTTGTGTACAAAAATAAGACATAAAATTATAGACTTATAGTTTATAAGAAAATGAATAGTGATTCTAAAAAATAATTTCTAATAAAAGCAAAAATATTAAATAATTTTAAAAAAATTGAAGTTACAGCTTATAATTCGATATACTAAAATGTTAACATTTGAATAAAATATTTTTTATAACTTTAAAAATAATTGGAATGTACTATGTTTAAAAATATAACAAATTTTAAAACTTCAATTATTTAAAAAATATAATAAAATGTATACATTTGCAATCATATTTGAATATATCACCATTTCGTTTTTAAAATCTAAATCTAAATTTTATGAAACTGAACATCTAGGTTGTGAATTATTGATATTTCCATTTGTTGAGCGTTCAGATTCAGCTAGAGCTCTAGCTAATGCTTCATCTTCACTCTAAAAAATAAAACAATCTTATAAGTTATTTGATTAAAGTTTTTTTTTTTATATTTGTCTATATAATAATACATTCAATACATATTATTTTTAAAACAATGATAATTAATAAAAAATAATTTTAAAAAAGTTGTCAACATTTGAATTTTAATTTTTTTTTTTTTTTTTTGATCCTTGAGTAAATTTTTAGATCTAAATAGTGATTAAATCTGTCAAGTAACATTGACTATGAAAATTTTAGAAAATCAGGATTGAATAATGATACTAAATTTGTGATTTTGGCATATAACATACAAGCATTGGTTCCAAGGTTGTTAATTAATATTGACCATGTTTAATAATCAATAGCCACATTTTCAAATATTATTTTTATTTAGGTAATTACCATATTTCCCTGTATAGCAGTTACGGTGAAAGTCTTTTTAATTATTCCATTGGTTCCAAAGATATTTTTCACATCTCTATAGATAAATAAATATATTTATAAAATTATTAAATTAAGAAACTATTAATTTAATATGCACTTACGTAATTTTTCTTTGAACGGCTTTGACACTACCTGTGCAACTATGGTCCAAAGGATGACGGTGTTTGAAACAATAGTTCTGGCGACATTCATTACATACCAAAGGCACAGCTTCCTTACCTCGACATTTAGCTGCTGAGCATCTATTAGTAAACACCTATAAAGATAATTGTTAAAATTAATTGTTCATATAAATTTCAATATTTTTAATTCAACTAAATGATAAACAATTATTACCTTTTTACCCTCAGTAAACTGACAGTCGTTGTCTATGTGTTTGCCAACAGTGAAATCTGGTTCTTCACCACGAGGTGTTGGTACAGGTTTATTACACAAAGGGCACATAGGCACCTGGATATTTTTTTTGTAAGCAGATTGGCATTGGTGACTATTGTAGCTCATATGATCAGAACTGCAGCATTAGAGATATTTCATTTTAGAATATATAAATAAAAAATATTTAAATATAACTCACCAAAATATACATGAACAAGCATCACATTTGACTGGAAGGAAATCTAAGATAAAAAAAAAATAAGAATTATTTATGAATAAATAATTAGATATTTATTACAATGTATTTTAAAAAATTGATTAAGGAAGAAGTTAATTACTTGGCGATAAATAAGTTCTATCATAAAAGCAATAATATATGATAGTATAATATGTTAGGTAATATATTTCTACATTGGAGAAGTAAGCAGGTAATATCAGAGTAGCAAATGTACTTAATTATTTGTTATAAAAAAAAAAAAAAAATCTAATGTATTTAAATAATTGATTTTAATATTTCAAGTGGTTTTTGAATCTTTATACTTCAATTTTTATCAGCTACGATCCATAAGTTATCATCGTAACTTACCACTTAATATAACCGATCCTGGAAGATTTATGAACAATAAAATATTTTCACCAAAACGAGGTGGGTAACTCCACGGAAAAATGATGCTGTTATAATGACTGCATATTAATTAATTGTCCGCAACGGACCTCTACATTGATTATAGTACTAATGAACGTGACACTAGCGGCGATGACTACTTACCCAAACGTTTGCATGTATCTTTGGAGCAATGCTGACCTAAATTGGGAAACTCCATGAAGACGGCCGAAAAAAAAAAGAATTATAAAAACTAACAACGAATAACAAAAATGAAGCAGAGTCCAGCTACACAGAGTACTCTGGAAACTTGTTGGTCCGTTTCCGCGTTCTGCGACAACCGTGTAACAGCACTACTGAGAGCTTTGTGTCGATTGCGATCATTCCCATCGCTAGCATCAGTGTCCAAGGCAGCACAACGCACGATTCGTATTCGTCATCACCGACAACATGCTGAATCACTGTATTTGCAGATCAACAGTTGCACAATGCGGTTGTACGAAAATAATAATCCTTCCGGGGACAAGAATATTGTTAAAATACTATATTCATTTGCAAGATTGTTAACGTTGGTATCAGCCCGCGCTCGCGCTATCTGTGACGTTATTAAAAGTAACGTAAATATAGTAGTGATGGGAACTATCGGAAAAAAGTAATCAAACCCATCGATTATTCCAACAATCGATTCGATTCGTTAGTTAAAAAAAACCATTCGAACGATAAAATAATGGAACAAATATGAATAAAAATTACTATCAGATTAATTCTGTATTTTATAAACTATTATTATAGTCAATACTCAGAATTCATTAGAAGTATTAAATGACAATATAGTTTGTTGTATTGAAAAGGCATTTAAATGTTTCGCAATATTAATAATTAAAATATAGATATAGAAATATTTATATTTTCATTAATCAGTTCAAGCAATGTTAATCGTAATGCATTCGAATGTTTCATGATTCAATTAGTTTTTAGTAATATTGCTCATTCGATTATATTTATTCGGAGTAACGTTGACTATTAATAATTCGATTATTCGATTATTATTTTTTTCAATTACTATTCATTCGATTATTCCCATCGCTGGTTACTACACACCAACATTAAAGATTTATCTATATATATATATATATATTTCATCGTGGTTGTAGTAATAGTCACAGGCAGTGCTTGACTTGGTAAAATTAAAGTAGACAATGTTTGCTTTAAAAAAAAAAAAGCGTCCCCAAAACTTGTTAGGTATTATAATTATAACGTAATAATGGTAGATGGACGCTAAAATTTCTGAAAATTAGTTGGGGTACTTCGCCCCACTGCGTCCCTCCTAAAGTCGAGCATTGATCATAGTTATAAATATAGATCGATGATGTAAGTGCAATGCAAGGCTTATGGATTATAGATTATGCCAATAATCATTTGATAACACATTAACACATTACTTTATGGTTTCGTCGAAACAATTTAGCTACACGGTGACGGGGATAACTGAAAAACTGAAAATTGATTTTCTCATTTTTATGATTTTTCTCATTTTATAAAAATGTTAGTCCATAATTAAAAAAGTTTAAAAAATATTTGAACAAGTAAGGTTAAAGTTCGAAATATCTAGTATTTTTTGGAAACAAATAATTATTTATTCTTTCCTCCAAAGTCGTATTTCTTATAAAACATATTATGTTATATTGTTGCAAGCGTACCTACTTCGTTTTAAACGTATTTTATCGATAATTATATATTTTCATGAACTATACACCTCTAGGAAACCAATGTTTACTTCAAATTTGTTTACAAAATTATATTGATCTCGATACTAAAAGTATCTACTTAGATTTCACGGTAAGATACAGGCTAACTGGATTTCAGCGTAGATATGATTATTGGAGGGAAACGAAAGAAGGATTCCAAGAAAATTCGAAGGTTCTGAAGGATAACTTTTGTGAATGTAACAATTTTAGAGGCTTGGGACAACAATACCTAATGTCTTCGACTTCCATAATTCCGGCCTTGAGAGTATATTGAAGTGTTTTTGTTTTTGATTAAGACAATTAAATTCATATTGTATAGGTAAATTATTAAATTTAATGATAATATAATAAATAAAATACACTTATATTTATGTTCAATTATTGCTCAGCATAATGAAATGTTCTATGAATATTATGGTGTTCGAAAACATTTTTTTATCACTATAAAAAATGTTGACTATAAGTTGGATATTTTTTTTGTTGGTTTTAGATTATAATATTTTACCCAAGTCCACAGATGCTTCTAATGTCGACACTATAGATTAGAGATGGGCAATTGGCGGCCCACGCGTACTTTTTTTTTATCCAACCCATACTACATTTTCAAATCACTTAATAACATTTTGGTGTTTATCAGTATTAAATTTTATCAAATTAAAATTTAAAATATAGATATTATATTTTTCTCTAGTATTGAACTCCATGAAATATTTAATTATAATATATATCTACATCGGCATAGCTAACATAGTTACAGGTATTAGGAACTTATTTTATTGTGTTGGTTCAGTCGTAAAATTAAATTATTTAAAATTAATGCTAATTGTCGATTTTAATGACTTTTTTTCATTTTTGCGAAGAAAATTATTTATAACAATTATTGTTGTCATAATGTATGATATTCATAAAGTAGTAAAAATGTTTATATTAAAAGGAATTCATTTTCAAACGGGACACTAGACAATTTTAAACATGTTGGTGATATTGTAGTGTAAAAATATTGAGTATTACGGTTATATTATGCTGGATCTTATCAAATTTAAATAGTATAATAAAATAAGTTTAAAAATAATTCTTGATAAATAAAAATAAAACAAAAAAGTAATCATTACACATTATAGTATTGTAGTACATATTACATATTATAAATATTTCAAATTGCATAAAGGTTAATAATAATATTTTAAAGTGTGCAACAGGGAAGTGACCTATCGCCTATACTCTACAATATATATACATCAGATATACCGAAAACCAACCATACAATTCTAGCAACATATGGAGATGATACCGCCATACTAGAATCAATCAAAAACCCAAGTATAGCCACTCATGATATACAATTCCATTTAAATCAAATTTCCAATTGGAATAAAAAATGGAAAATTAGAATTAATGAAAAAAAATCAGTTCAAATAAAATTTTCTCTTAGTATAAAAGAATGTTATCAACTATCACTAAGTAATGTACAAATTTCTAACAAAAATATAACCAAATACCTAGGAGTTTATCTAGATAAAAGACTTACCTGGGCCCATCACACTAAACAAAAAATAAAATAATCTAATACACGTCTACATCTCCATCTATGAGTTTAAAAAACAAAATATTAATATATAAGACGATTATTACCCCCTTTGGTCAAATCTGGCGCTAAGCCAAACCATCTAATATAAGACCCATACAAACTTTCCAGTCCATATGTCTTAGACAAATAACTAGTGCCCCTTGGTATATGACCAACGACACACTACATAAAGAGCTACAAATCTCAACAGTCAATGAATTAGCAACTCGTCACTACAAAAAGTTCCACTCCAACTGCACTTAAACCAAAACCCTCTTATTTTTCGCATGTCTTTTATAACCATCCCCAAAAACCCTCCAAGGAGGTTAAAAAGAAAATGGCCAAGAGACGCCCTTGCCTAACTCACGAAAAAAAAAAAAAAAAAAAACGGTCCCTATAATATGAACCCATCAATCTAATTAGGAGGTACTGTTGATGGACGGTTTTCTCCCCTCAAGATATACATGTCATGTTTTATATTATATATTATCAAATTTACTTATTGTACTATTTGTTGTATAGATCGTGAATATGCATTTTAATAAAAATTAAAAAAAAAAAGTGTACAATCAATTTTATTACTGAAAGGACTAAGCTTAAACTAACCACCTAAGTTGCACTTATGTTGTGCCCATTAAATATTTATTTAAACCTATATCATATTATGGTAAAAAGAAAATTTTGGTTTTGGTTTAAACGTGATTTTGCAAATTCCTAATTTTTAAATACTAAGAAAAAATACCTTTACTATAGTAATAACGCTAAGTCATGATTAAAATAAATTCCGCGTATAATTAATGTAATAGACCGTTGAATGGACTGGGGCTTACTCAATTTTGAAGAATTTCCATACAAACTTGTAAAATAAAAAGTATAAAGTAAAAAGTTTAAAATATAGCCTTTTTCATGTTTCAAACAGTTACATAAGTATTTAGTAAACTACCAAAAATATGTTTGGATAAAAAATTTATTTTTATTTTTATCTTTTGTAGAAATTGATAAAAGTGCGTGTCAGAGGGGGGGATGTTATAGGAATCATAACATCCCCTCTCACTCATTTGATCGTGTTATACTTAAGTCATATAAAGGTAAAGATTTATAAGATTCATAAAATAATAAACGGTGATAAACATATATTTATCAAAATAAAATATATTTGTACATATTACGATAACCAGGCATGGCACTAAAATTTCTTTCCAGGGGTGACAGAGTGGAGCAAATATTTTTTTACATGGACTAAGATTTTTTTTCAACAAACACTTAGGTTATTTAAATAAAATATAAATATTTTCGTATCATATAACATAATATACCTATTTATTATTGTTATTGGGACATAAGCGTACAACCACAATGAGATGAAAACAAACAAATGGTAATAAATCATAAGTAAATAAGTAAAATAAATGTATACAATTCAGAGTCTATTTAAAAACTTAAAACACAAATCTTTGAAAATACGAAAATATTTACATCCATTACAAATTTTTAAAATTAAATTTCATAAATTCTTTGATGTAGTTCTTTTAAAAATAATGTTTAATGATTTTATTATATCATACATATTTTTCATTAAGGGGGCTGGTGGGGAGGGGGGTGCACTATTTTCTGGGTGGATATAGCCCCTCTTGCCCCCATTGGCCAATAAATATTCATGAGTAATAAACTAATTTGTTTGTATGATTGTACAACAAAATATATGTTAAGTTATTATTTTATTGTAAATAATTTTGTCAATAATTTTGAGTAACCTTCATCTCCCTCATTTGAAATGCTTATCTAGGCGTCTGATTTATATGTTAATTTTTAGACTTAAATATGAATTTGGAGTAAAATTTTACTTTTCCTCTGTTTTCCAGGCCTCCGGGTAATCTCATTTAAAATATAACGCCACACCAAACATAAGTTCCACCCGCCCCTGTGGCACTGAATCTTATATTTATTTTTTATTTTTGTATTTTTTCCTTTAAATTATTAACTGTGCTTGTACACGTAATACCCAATAGTAAAAAATAATATTTTCTGTTATTATTTTTATAAATAAATATTAATCCTATTTTGATTTTGATTGCTAAAATGATGATGATAAACTTTCAAAATTGGTATTTTTTTGACGTATTAATTTATAAAGAAAATTACAACGTTTTTATTTTCCCAATGTAATTTTATGATGGTACAAATTATATTATATTATTAAATTATATTTGTACAAATTTTATAATAAATTAATTTTTGATATTCTAGTTTTTTTAGTTAATAAGGTCCCTTAAAGCTATTTTTTGACGTTTTTAATTTCCCAAATATAATGCATATATTTCAGAGCAAGAACTATTTTCATAAATAAGTTCTAACTTCTAAACTAAATTCTATTGAAATGAAAATGTTGATCTGAGCAAAAATAAGTTTCGAGTAAATACATAAGATACCTATGTTCCGATTGATTTAGACGTGATATATTAATATTATTTATGTTATGTTTATGGATTGAATATTTTCCAACTGAGTACCACAGTTCCGTACCGGTAGCTTCGTGACAAATATTTATTCGGACATTTACTTTCTGTTGGCAGCAGTGTGGACACCGACCGGTTGAGAGTGGCGCGCAACCGTGCTTTTTCGGACAGCTCGTTCCTACCGGGCACCAGCATTCAGCAGTCGTTTCTCAACGTATTTCGCGGCTCCACTTCAGTTGTTCGTCGAACGGTCGTCGGGTGTTTTTTTTTTTTCTAAAAACTTTTCCGTATTGCGTGTGTAATTTTCTAATTTTACACGTCATTTTGAAAACTGTAGTCTCAGTGTGTATGAAACGTAAGTTTGACAACTTGAAACGTATTAATTCGAATATTATTTGTGTATCTTTTACTTATTATAAATAATATAAATTACTGTTCAAAAACGATTCCCGGCTTTGGAACCATACCACTGTATTAAATAAACATAAATTGACGTCCATATTTGTCAAATCGAGAGTTTCGGATAATCGTAGACGACTCTTCAACTAGATAGTTATTTTAATCGAAAAAATAAAATATTAATAAATAACAAAAAACTGATTTTGCAGAGTTATACAATACGAGTAGGGATTTATTTATATGTTCTTGTAATAGTTTTTTAATACATCTTATACACTGTTTAAGTTTTTTTTGATACGTTATTTCGAATTTCTCATGGGAATGGAAACATTTTAATTAAGCTAATTTCTCTTCTACAAGGCAGTTTTTATAAATTATTATATACCTGCATTTATATTAGGTTGTATGATTGGGTTTAAATAATTTGAATGTTATTCACAAAAAATAATTAAGAACTAAATACTTACAGATCATTTTTATAAATAATTCAAATATTAGGGGAATTATTATACTATTATATATGTTTTACAGTGATACAAAAAAATAGGGCTGAAAAAGTAGGTATGATTTGAATCTGTCAAATAACATCCCTGCGTTTCTATAAAGATACTTTTGTACACAATTGTTTAGATCCTTTTCTCGTGTGATCGACAATCACTTAAGTTCTCAATTAATTTGAATGATATAAATTTTATTTAAACTTTAAAATAATACCTTTAATTAATAATATTATATAAATATCACGCATTTTAAGTTGATTGATACAATATCTTATATAACTATAATTTTTTGAACCATAACAAAAAGTTCAAAATAAAATTTTTAAATTTAGCAAAATAAAATACAAGCCATAGAATGCCCACTGGTTATAGATTGAAAAATACTGTATTGGATGATTTAAAAAAATTGATATGATTACAGATACACATTTTTACTTTTATAAAGTTTTCTCATGATAAAGTATCTGTTGTATTTAATATTCAAAATAATATTTTTGTTTCATAATGAATATATTATATAGTTTATGTTTCTAATAAATCATAAATTTATTATCTTACTGTCAGGTTATTTAATGCCAAATTTTTAGTAAGACACGACTAATCAATTTTAACTAATGAGAATTAATTTACGTTTTTTTTTCCAAAATATATAGTTTACCCCTATAAACAATGTTTGAAAAAAGTGTGAAAATGTATATCGTAAGTATAGAGTAGTTAAACATGAATTTTCGGTCAATACCTTAGAAAGTATGAGAAAAAAAAAGACAATAAAAGTATTAGAAAAAGGCTGAGTAGCAGCATTCGCGGAATATAGATATAACAATGTATAACACTGCTAACAAAATAAAAATATGTTGGGTATATAAAATTTTCCACGAATTTTAAATTTGCATTGATTTTTTGACGGAATTAATAAATTACGTACATTTTTTGCTTGTTCAAACGAAAAACAATACTTGGTGTGCGTTAAAATCAAAATATATGATTTTTTTTGGGGGTTTATTGGGTTTTAAGATTATCCCGTCTCACAACCAAGCTTCCATCCTTCTTTATCCAGTGCTAGATTTTTCCAGTTGGAACCAGCTCCTATCTGTTTAACATTCTTTTTTATAGCATCTTCCCAGCGCATATGAGTATAATTTTATAATATCAGACTTGCAATTTCAAAAAAAAAAAAACAATATTTTATGTTTTTATCTTCTAGAGGTTTTTATATTATGCTTCTAATAAATTCATTATCCTAATTATTAAATGATCAGTTTGTGTCAAAATATATGTATATTATATTACATTAATGAGTAATCCTGTTTGGCTTTTGTTTATGTAATTGTTTTTAAATTTGTATATTAGGCTTTATAAAAACTAAATGAACCATTAATTATATTGTGATGATTTTTATTGGTATTAAATGAATAATGTATGTATACATTATACCACAATTTATACTTCATATATATATATATATATATATAATTTTGTATCCAAGAATTGTTATCATTTAATATTCAATTGATTTTTTTTTTTTTTTTTTGAAGCACTGACACATATTTTGATTAAATTTAGGAAATTTAAAATAATTAAATTTAACTTAAATAAATAAATATATGTTGATTATTAATACTATGATATAAATTAATTATATCTATCAGAAATATTTTTTAAATTAGAAGATAGGTTTTCTTACCTGAATATTTCTAAATACTTCATTGATATTTCTATTATTTTTTAGTTCGATTAGTTTATAAAATGATAAATGGTTAATGAGGTAACTAGTAAATATATTTAAAGTATTACAATAAATTCGTATAATAAACCATTTCTATAAACCTGTCATAATTTTTTGAAGCAGGAGAAAAAAAATAGTTAGCCTATTTGAATTTGTTTTGAATGATAAATTATATCAAAGACTCCTTGGAAGTAAATTTGTTTTTTTATGATTATGTGTTTTATGATTAATTTTGTATCAGAGTTTAAAGACGTAAGTACTTAAAAAATTTACTTATACTACGACTTGAAATTATTTTATGCTTATAAACAATAATATCTTAAGTACGATAATTTTTTGCTATTCGTGGATGGGTAGGCGGTAGTCAAACAGGTTATCTCGAGTAAACACATACATAACAATAAATAAAATATAAATTTTACATGAGAAAAATACGGCCATGAACTTACCAAAAAAAATCTACATCATTGCATGAAGTTCTAGACATTACAATTCATGGTTGATATTTATTTAGAAGAATTTACCAGAAATCAGAAATATGTATGAAAATAATAAAATATGTATTCTTAATAAAATATAATTTCTTAATAATTTTGAAAAAAATTATAAAGAGTAAAACGACGTATCACACTTATTGATATTATTTCATTTTTGAATACTTAAGATTGTAATCCCAAAAGAACAATTAAATGTCTTCGCTAGTTGTTTTTATGGGGTAAGTCATAAATATACAAATTATTTCCATTTTTAAATTTGTATAGAGTGAAATATAATATGCATAACTTTTCATATAAAAAAATTTTCTACATTTCGAATTAATTTCTTAATTAATTAAATTAAATTAATTAAATAATTAATTAAGATAAATAATTTTTAACGTCAAAATAAAAAAAATGATTCAAATTTATAATAAGTATGTTGATAATTCCATTTATTATTTATAAAATAAATTAATTTAATAATAATTAATAATTAAAATATAAACATATATTGATGTCAGTAAGTAATGTTAATTTGTTGATTAATTTTGAATGATATATTTTAAACGCATAATATGAATTATTATAAAATAATAAAATAATTTATAATATAGATGTAATATGATGATAAAGAATCTTCAATTGCACATAATTGGATATAAATCTGCACTATACCTTCCAAGTATGTACATATAAGTACTGAAAATGTACGTATAGAATTTTTATAATATTGTAAATTGATAATAGTTTTTTGTTCAGTGGTAATTTTAAAATATATTTTTAATATATCATAAAATAATTTAAAAAATATACATTGCATTTTAATAAAAAAAATATTTTACTTGAACTTTTTAATTATTATGTTATTTTTGTTTTATACTATAAATAAAAGTTATAATTTAAAATGATTTCTTTATTTTTTGTCAAGAACATAGTAATGAAGATTGAGTAGGTAATAAGTTTAATGAAAATATTTGTGTAAGTTATTATTATTTTCATAGAAATCGATTTAAAATAACGTGAGACGATTAATTTTGCTTTATGTGTGATTAATGATTTCTTTGGATTTATAAACTTATTGTTATGAATAATAATAAATAAATAAATAATAATAATAATAAAAATTATTGTTATGTTCTTTTTTATTTATTAAAAGGAGTATCATTGAGAATATTAGTAAAATAAATCAATAAAAATACTAAATAAATAATATTTTAAAATTAAATTGAATATAGTATGGTAATGTTAATATATCTTCATCAATCATATAATGGTGGAGATGGTGGTGTATATACGTAACAGTGACCTTGCCGCGCCCTAAAGCTTTATTGATTTTGTTGTTAGAGCAAAATGAAAGCTGCGCTACCACCTCCTATCCAAAGTTATTTATATTTTAATAAGGATATTTTCCCGTGTAATGCTGCTAACCACTATACTTTTGGTTAATTGGTTGTTGATGACATTGACTATTTATTTTATTCTATTTATATTTTGGACAGTAGAAATGTAGAATATTTTTTGTTGTTAATGTAAGTACGTTCTTAAATACTTATATACATCCATAAAAGTGCCCATATTTTAAAAAAAATTATCAAGCATTTAGGATCCATGACATTGAAGAAATAAATTATTTGTAAGTTACATAAAAAAATTTAAATATTTAACACAGACATCCAATTTTTTAAATAGTTTTTAGTAAAATTTGCAAAAATATGACTAGTTTAGATAACCATTTTGAAGGTTTATAGGGAAATTATTTTATATAAACATCGGTTTCTAATTCTTTGGTCCGGACTATTTTTATAAGCATCATTATATCTTTACTATTAGAGTTTAGTTTAGTTATAATTAATATCAAAAGGTAATTTTTTTTTTGACTTTTTTTAGTTTCGTGTGATTGACAAGAATATAAAAAAGAAAAATTGAATTAATTATTAAAAGAAAAGTACAAGAACAAAAAATCCACCTAAAACTATTTTAACAGGTATGATAACAAGTAGTATTTAAACATAGTAGTTTATAATGGCCATTTGAAATCGTATGGACAAATGTTGACAATGATGTATAAATAATATCTTAGTGCGTGGAATTGAAAACCACGCAATAACGAAATCTGAAAATCTTATAATGTACATGTGACGTATTAAAATAGGGGTTTTGATGTACGTTTAATTCAAAATAAAGTTATTTTTTCAATATTTTTAAAAATTAATTGAGAAAACAACTGTAAATACCCTTAAAAATCTGACATTTGTAAATTGAAAAGGACGTTTTAGATCAGTGCTTCTCAACCTGGGGGCCGCGGTTATATGACTGAGGGGCTGTGAAATATTTATTTAATTTATAGCTCTTGACACCGACTTTAATAAAAAGAACTTACTAAATTTTGGTTAAGACGACAGCAAGAGTATCCTATAATTTCGAAAACGGCTTTACTTATATTAATACCTTTCGTGTCAACATATCCTTGTGAAAATGCATTTTCACAACTTCAAAATATAAAAAAAAAACATAGATCATGCATTTCATAATAGTCTTTAGAAGCAAATTTGCGTACTTTAGTTTTAAATACCACACCTAACATAAATGTTATACCAAAATATGCAATCCCAACCGTCACATTAGTAATTATAACATTTTTTTTTTTTATCATTGTTCTTATTAACCTAGCCTTTGTTTGAAACCAAATCAACATTATTACTGAATAATTTTGAAGTGCTTTATAGTTATTACCAATTATGTTTTGTTCATATATGTCTTAAGTTATATATAATTATAAGATTACATTTCAAAAATATAATAAAAAACATTTATTTTCCTTACATTTTAATAGTTTATTTGTATAGTGCATGTAAATTTAGTAGATATATCATTAAGAAAAAATAATAATTTTTTTTTAGGGGACCTTGATAGTTTTACATTAAATTTATGGGGCCCTATATCAAAAATGGTTGAGAAGAATGGTTTTAGATTATACTTATTGAGCATGAGTAAAGCTTCAAAACGTGTCGGTATCAATTTCAAATAATCTGTAAACTCGTATTATAGAGTTTGTAATACTAAAAATAATAACTAATAATTATATGTATTGGATAATTTCTTAAAACTATATTATACATATTTATTTTAACAGTACAATTAATTTATACTTCTAAATATGATTTTCATGACAATATAAGATATTCAAAAAACGGTTTCAAAAGCAGATAGAATTCCCTATTATTTTTTCTACAATGAATATAAGTTAAGCTAGAATTATTAATATTGGTGCAAGATAATGAAAGAATTAAAATTAGTTAAATTAGGTTAGGTACAATCCTGTAAATTGTGATTTAGGGAAAAATCTTCTAAAATCTTTGAATTTTTAGAATCTTTAAATTAGTGTATGTACATTTTAAATATTATTATAAAACATTGATTGATAAAAAATCATGGATTTTGTTCTTACCTTTAGTTTTATACACAATATACATTATTTATTCAAAATAATTAAATATAAGTACTGCGTTTTTCCTATTAGGGAATGTTTATGAGATGAAAGTGATAGTTATGAGAAAAAAACATTTGTGATTATATTATATGGCAAATTTATTATTTGTATAATTTCTCTCATTAAACATCACAATTATTTAATTATAAAGATAATTAAGATAATTAATATGTAAACAAAAATATGTTCTAAATATAATTGTTAATAAAAGTCCAATAATAATTTTTAACATTTGTTAATATTTTAATTTATGTAAACTAAAATATGTGTGATTTGTAGAGTCATAGTTATGAGTATTTTACAATTTTTTAAAGTATTTATCATTATTATAACGGAGGCTTAGATTTGTAAATGGTTAGTTTTTGAATTAATATTTTGGTGTGGAAACGACGATTGATAGTATTTAATGTTGTATTATTAACTGATTATACCAGCTTACATTGTATTTTTGTGAAACTAAGTTTACAATAGTATATTACAGTAGTATATTTAAAATATTTTTACTTCATTGAATAGTTACATCAGAAAATTTCTTTAAATATAATTCACTTTATTTCTACATCTGTTTCTTGACATCAGTGCCGGCGCTAGGTATTGCGGGGCCCTGGACATTAGCTTTTAGGATATAAAATTTCAATGTGTTTCACGGTATTAAGATAAAAATTTAAAATCATAGTGACCCTTTGACAAGCGCGGGACCCTGGACAAATGTCCCGTTTGTCCTCTCCTAGCGCCGGCACTACTTGACATCAAAACGCACTCGTAATGAAATTACTTATTATATATTATATATATAAAAAATATTGAAAGAACATTTTTCTTATAGAATTTTAGATTCATTATTCTAATGAGTTAATAATGAGCTTCCTAGCTACTCGTAAATATATTCTTATTTTACGATTATAAGTGTACCTATATAAAAGATTTATTATATTTTATACAATTATGAACTTTATGAAACCGAAGTGAAGTTTTTTATAGAGGTTTAATTATTATGATTATAGTCTTATATTTTCATGTTTGACTTTTAAGCATTTAAAGATAATAGTCATTTTAAGTATTTTAAATAGTGTTAATTATTATAAATAAGTTATATACCTGTAGAATACTATTAATTCATTGCCTTGTCAGAAGCTTGTTTAATGGGGTGAATAAAAAACATAATACGTTGTAAATTTTAGTTCTAAACTGTAGTTTAAATTTAAAAATTTTAATGTATACTGTTTTAACAATAAATAAATAAAAAAAGTACAGATAATTTCTTAATTTGTATGTTTTAAGTTTAAAATATTTGCAATTACTACATTAAAGGATTAAAATTTCTCTATAATTTGTATAAAAAGTATATTCTTAGATTAAATTTCATAATTTCTACTGCAAGTAAATTTGAAAAAAAATGTTACTTTTACGCATAGTAATAAGCATATTACTTACACGCATTACTTTTTTTTCTAGAAAAATAATGGTGAATTATATAATTTTAGTAATTTTAGTACAATGAATCGATACACATATTATACATAAATAAATCGTGAATTTCAAAAAGGGCTCATATCTGAAAATTAAAATATTTCAGGAAACTAAAAAAAACTGATTTTCTTTTGAATTATTTTTTTATTTTAGCAATTGACAATAAATAATAAATTAAATCATCACAATAGAACAGATATATGAGCCCTTGTTGCTCATAAAATATCGGTCTATATGTGTAGATGAAAAAAATGTAGCCAAGTATATTTTGATAAAAACTCGAAATGAGCCCTTTTCGAAATTCACGGTTTAAATGTATATATGATTTTTAGTTTTTAATTTTCACTCTCAAGAAAAATCCATGATTGTAATTTGTATTAATATTTATAGTAATTTTTAATTAAGTAGTATTATATTTGTTGTAGATAAATTTTTTTTTGACCGTTACTGTATAATACTAGTCAAATGTGTTGTAAACATCTATAGGTACGTTATTACTATATGTAAAATATAATGCTTGGTGGTTTACTAGACGAATCCAACCGAAACTAATTGTTGGCACATTGTTATACATATTATTATTGTATGTTATCCAAAATATATACACAATTGTAACTGAATGATGAAATATCATGCGTTTTATGTGCGTCATTATAATAAAATTGTGCTGATCTTTGTCAGCATTGAGTTTTCTACAACACACCACCTCTAGTGTCCGTGACACGATTCGTGAGAGCACTGTCGATATTATAATATGGTTATTTGTATAAACCATTGTATGGCAATGGTTAAAGGAAGTCCAGAGAGAATTTAAAAACAACTTGTGGTTGTCAGCCGTTGGATATAGGTGTAATGTCCTGGTTATTAAAAGTCTTAGAACAATGTGCGAAACTGATTGTTATGATTCAGTGAACTGTTTCAAATAATGCAAAACCCAGCTTCATTGGTAATGTAAAAACGAAATAAATAGCACACTATTTAATTTTTGTTCACACGAAAAGTAATTAGAGGTTTTATAAAATTCTGGTGCAGAAAATGTATATTATGCACCTTATTTCGTATGGTAGGAGTTATTAATAATCTGTAGGTTGTCTAAAAAGATAAAATTGAAGCATTATATACAAATGTGTTTAATATAGAAGAGAAATACAAATTTGAAAATTTAGTTTTCAAAATTAAACCTATTTGACAACAAATATAAGGGAAACATTTTATGTATGTTGTTAATATTAACATACGTATGTTAGTGAATTTTAGTGTATTAAGGGCTAACCTTACCTTCCAACACTAACGTTAAAACATTTAAATAAATAAATTATACAGCTTATATAATTTCTCCCTTAATTTACTATATTGGTTATTGAGTACACCTATTTACGATTAAGTAAGTTTATTGCTTAGAAATAGACACCGTTATACCATAACGGATATATAATGGTAATGTTGAAAAAAATGGTTTCTATCTTTTTTTTTTTTGATACATTTTGTATTGTGTTAGTTTAAATAAATAACGAACTAACGTGAAAGAATCCCTTTTGTTATTTAATTTAGAAATTAATTCATCATGAAAAAGTATTATAAACATATATATATATATACAGTTTTTAATATACGTTTTAAAATAAATCAAAAACTATGTCAATATTTTTAATAAAGAAATCATTTTAAATATTTTTTAAGTTATGGGTGATTTGCTTAGATTATACGAGGAAGGTAAAAAACAAAAATATCTATTTGGATTATTGTGATGATAAGTAAAATAATGAATGTGTCTAAGAGTTTACCTTAATTGTCTCATCATTATATATGTCATTAAACATATATATTACTGATATATCTTAAATTAGAGATGTATAGATGAAGATGAGTAAGTGTCCAACGATAAAATTTAAATTAATATATTAATGTCTTATGTTACTGATAGTTAATTTTTAATTTATTAACAGTTTCAAAGACTTTATTTATTTATTAAGTATTTTTAAACAGTGTTTATGATAAAAATAATGAATCAGTTGAACTTAAAT